AAAAAAAAAAAAGTGGTGATTGAAAAATTATCATCTCTATGTTGATATCATCAGAAACCACGTATAACAAAATCCTATTTTTGAATACAACTGGAAAAATTAAGACTCATTGATCAAATATTATAGCAGATAAGGTAAATGAAAATAAATTCTTGCCTGAGTGTGACTCATTTTTTGCATTTGTATTTCAAGTAGATATAAAGTCAGATATATATTCATACTTGTGGTGTCTTTATGTGTACATAACATGCACATAAAGACAAAAATACCCCATTTCATTGCTGAAGTCAATCCCAGAGCTGACCCTGTTGAATTCCTGCAACAAATGTAATGAAAACCTTTACAATAACCTTATAAAAGGTACAGTACAGTCATGCAATGTAACATATTTCTCCAGTACACAACCCYTGATTCAAAAATCTAATCTTTTTCACTAAATAGGTCCCTGGTACTATTAAAATAATACTACTAAATATTGCAGAATATTTAATTCATTAAATCAAGGGGAATGCCATAATATTGACGAGCCACTTTCCTCTCTTTCTGTAGAAAAGAGTTGCTGGTGGADATAAGCATTAGAATGCTTTACAAAAAGGAGAAGTCATACTACAAACTTACGTCTGCCACCCTGAGTTTCAAATTTGTCCCTACAACTCACATATCTCGCTGTGTGAAAAATCTGTATGTGCATATTTTTTAAAGATGTGTGAGAGCTGAGAGCTAAAATTTTATATGTTTAYGATATAAAAATATTTGAATATATGACGTTCTGGGTGGTTCATTTGTTTATTTCTTTCCTGAAATATAGTGGGGTTTCTATCTCGTTGTAGGAAAAAATAGATGGCTTAACACTACAGTGTGTAAATGGGTCTGAGAACATAAAAAGAAGCTCCAGCTTTGCTATCAGATCATAGTCAATAAAGCTGAAGACTTTGGTCTCTAAAGAGAAGTGGCTGACAGTTAATTGCTAAATAAAAAATCTCAGGAAAAGAACCAAGTGTTTAATGATTTCTGAGGCAGGAAAATGTTGACAGCTGTCAACTATCTGAAAACTAGTTCAAAGAAAAAAAATCTGCTGTTAGGCACTATAAAAATGAAAGAGAAGGGGAAATATTTGTAGAATAAATTTTTAATTGAAATCTCTACAGGGTTTTTATAGATTTTTGGCGGGCTTATGATAAACATAAGACTTTTTGTGATATAATGTACTGCATAAACTGTTTACAATTTAACAAAGGTCAATGGTAAATGCAGGAAATACCAACATTGCATATTGTCCATATAAAATGCAACATTAAGGAAAAGACTATAGTTCATTCTTTGATGCTGAATGTTATAAATCTGTATTTATAGATATGACCGCTTTTTTCTTAAATAATACATTTCACCTATTTAATGAGAACAGTTACATGTGCAGTTATTAAGATGTTGGTTAGAGTTCTATGATTAAACAAGTACTGTTGTTGAGGCAGTACTCAGTAGCTGGGCTGTGGGAGTATAATAGAACAAAACCTTTTGAAAATTATAGCACTTTCACTACAGGGTATATTTATTTAAAATGCAGAATTAAATTTGTGAATTAGCTTTTAAGTTATAGCTCATGGAAAAGAATCTTTTGAGAAAGGCAGATGTGCCAGTTTATTGTTTTTTGGGGTTTTTTTTGGTCTCCGTTATACTCTTGTATTATTGAGAAATGTTGTAACAGGCAAAGTAAAAATTTTAAAACTTTAAAATTCCTTCCTAACTTGTTTAAATTACATTAAAATTTAACCTGACTCTTGGTGSTATAATGGTTGTGACTCAGATATATCACAACTTCTCAGTACCACTCACATCAAATTCCAAAYATGTTAATCTCCACATTTTGTCTGATCAGAGCGAATTAATGTTTATGCTTAGATTTAAATTAGAAACACATTTTTAAAAATTAAAAACATTATATTGGACCCATGAATTTTTAACACCCTCCAACCTAGAACTCATTCTTCTGAAAGTTTTAATAATATTACACAGTGCTTTTCAAGTAACTGGCTACAAATATTTGACCTCCCAGCCATTAAGTGACATTCATCTTCGATCAACTGAATTCCAAAACTGCAAACTATACCAAGGAAGACTTTTCTATCTCTTTAGTTAATCACTGAGGGCAGATGAGGCCTCAGAACTTGCAAAAGCAGCCCTCTTAGCAACCTCCAAAGCAATCATGTGGAGATGGGGTGTGAAATATTCYTTCTACTCTGGGGAGGAGAACAAAACAGAAAAATTGTGTCAAATGATGAATGTGTGCTCTTTGAAAGAAGCCAAAGGTAGTCTTCAGGGGAGTCCTAAAAGGAATTAAGAGACAGCACCCAATAATGACAATTGAATCTAGTGTAAAACTCATGTGAACAATAATGTTTTGTACAGTTTTTTTGCAAGCATAGTCTCAAGAATATCTCGTTGACATTTTTGAAGTTTGCTGGACAGGATGTAAATCACTTTCAGCATTACAAGGAATGATAGCTGCTTGCAGTATTAGCTTCAAATTCTTTAGTGTCTCTTAAATCCAATATACAGGATTGTAAGGGGATCAGTCCTTGAAAAGTAAGGACAGGGTATATCTTGCTTATCAGTCAGCCCCAAATGTTCAAAAGCAAACTACACACACTCAGTCTCTGTTAACTAAAGAAGATAAGGCATACAAACATAAAGCCATTATCTGCCTTTAAAAATGAATCTCTATCTCAGTAGCAAAGCTGCATTGTCTTGCAGCATCATTCATATGGAAGTGGGTTGGTTTGGTTGCTCTATTAGTGGTGAATAAATATTTCACATATCAGTTTCTGCCCACACTAGTTTATTGTCTTGGTAATTACCTGCACAATTATTCAAATAAAAACAAATAACTTCACCACTTTAGGATTGCCAGTTAGCCTGTCTGAGAAGTGACCTTGAACATGAGCTGATTTGTGTTATGTGCCTGCAATATATTTTTATACAAGGAGAATGCTGCTTGAATTTCAAGAGACTTCACAAGCAGCACAGAAAATTCAGTATCAGGAATCTATGAAAAAAAAAAAAATGTACTTCAGAGTCAGATCTTGCCATGAGTATTTAACTACTCAATATCTGATCAAGCTTTCAAAGAAGCATTTAAAAAAGCCCTCCACCACAATTTTTTGTCTATTTTTGAAAGAAATTGGGCAGCAGTGAATAAATTTCTAAATATTTTGCCTGTATAGTCATCCAAATTATTTCCAGAATTTCACACATCTTCCTGATGTACTTTTCACACTAAATCCCTGGAACTTTTATGRATTTTGCTTTAATATCTATTACTGATGGCTGAATAGTATTTAACTATTACTCAAAAAGACTATTTGAAACTCTTGTTCTCACACCCTGGAAGCCTTCTCTATATTCCTAGTTTTCTCTTCCAAATCAGTAAAAAAAATAAAAAATACCAAGAAGCAGAATTCGAGAGAGTGTATCTGCATTCAAACAGACGTGAGATTATTTAAAAGAGAAAAAAAAAGGGCCAAAAAAAGAGCAAATATAGAGAAATTTATGTTTACATTTCTGTTATGACACTGTCCAGCTACACAGAATTGTGTGGATGCCTGCACTTCACCAGAACTTTCAATAAGCTCTTTCCCTTCCCATCCCTCAAGTTTATTCTCAGAACACCTGAGGACTTTCCTTTAATTTTTATTGTAGTTTACTTCCAYGGTTTTCAAGAACAAATATATTTCAAGCACCACGAAAGAACCAAAATGTTTTTCATTGTCATCCTTCGAATACAGCTGCTTTCCAAAAATCTCCACTTGGGCAACATTTATATCACTGTGAGCAAGTAATTTTTGACAGTTTCTGTAGCTCATCTTTGAGCATGTTCTGGTTACAGTCATAAAGGGGCTGTCTACATCCTTGGCTAGGTTTTTCCCCAATAATTCTTTCTGATCTTCAACAAGCACTGAAATGATATTTTCCTGRTATCTATAGCATATTGCTAGATTTGGCTCTCCTTGTCTTAAAAATATATTTTTAATATATTTTTCTATATATTTAAAATATATATATTTAATATATATTTTTTAATATATGTATAATATATATATTTAATATTTAATATATTTATATATATTTAATAAATTTTTTTTCTATATTGAAGACCATGAAAACACTTCTGATGGAACATTTTGTTTGTGACCTGTTTAGAAGCTKCACTGTACCAGCAAAATATATTTTTTATTTTTAAATGGTGCTAGTCTTTCCTCTACTTAATTGGAGGACCCTAAAGATACCTCCTGCTGAAGTTCTTCCCATCGAGTATTGAACTTCTCAAGTTTCTCATTGATCAATTCATCCAAKATTCCACCATCTGTCAACGTCTGAGCCAGTTCCCGAATCTGGTTGCGATTATCTTCTGGATGCCTCATTAAACGTTCCAAAGACTGAAAAAAAGTAAAAAAAAAAAAAGGAAAAAGCAGTTTATTTTTCTATTCGTAAATAAGATTCTTCAGAGCAGTCCTGATTTGCCTTAAAAATATAAGAATTTTTACATTTCATATACAACAAAAGTAAAGGAAAATGGATAAAATACTTAAATTCCATGTCTTGACAACTAATGTTCTATACTACTTATTACCAAGCACAAAGATTTTTCATAAAGCATTGTTTACTGCTGGATTTTAAAAACGTGGACTATGCCCAATAAGTAGTTGCACTTTAATATGAAAAACTTTCCTGAGTATCTAAATGGATGAAATTCAACAGCAAAAATGAGTTATCAATGCAATATGTTGTATTTTAACACACTAAAAATATTAGTTAACTTAAGWATTAATTAACTTAATATCTACAAATTTGAAAGGCTACATGAATAAAAATAAAAGAATAATAAACAAAGTTGTACTGCTATGATGAAAACTTGCCTTCTCTGAGGCCTTCAACATCTTTTCTATTGGCTAAAGTGAGGTCTTTTCTTTCTAAGAAGGTTTATTTTATCACTACCAAAATTTTCTATTACACCAGGCATAATACATTTAATTATTGTTTGAATTAGGTGGATTTGAATTCAAAACCTCATTTGTTGAATCTACTGAGAACTTAGGACTTTCCAAATATTCTGCACCTTGTTCACGTGCAGTGTTAATTCATAGTTTTTTTTAGAATGACATGCAATTTACAATTTATCAATACATATAATTTGATATTAAGTCAGCACTTACATCTAAAGATTCAGAAATCTCTTCTGCACCTCSCTGGACATTTTCAGTTGCTTTGAGTTTCAGTTCAATCTCATTCAACCAYTTATTTTCTGCATCCAAATATGACAATAATTCGCGCCAACACGCCCATACCTCCTGATGAAGAAAATGTTTATTTAGATTGAAAACCTCACAGAAAATTTTCACTCATTAAAATACTGAAAATATTCATGCTTCATCCCCAAAGCAAAATGGTTGATACCTGATGGTTACAAGACCATATAGTTGATTTTTAATTCCTAGTACTCATATGATCCAAATAAATATAAAACACAAGAAAACCATCATTYTGATTAAACAGAGSAMAACCACWGAAAATAACAYRAAAAAATGAAWRCTTCCACAAAACACAACTTGAATCTTCATGTTCATGTATTATCCACTTTATAGTTTTCTGTAAAATTTTCTTATATAAATACCCATTTTAGAAATTTATGTCTATTATAAAATGAAGTTAGATTCCTTATATATTCTATATATTAATTGCTTAAAGTTTCATAAAGGTTCATAAAATTTCAGCTTTTWAGAATTCAGACTCAAATCTCTATGGAATTTAATTCTAAACCATATTTAGTGCAATTTTATAGACCTTTTAAGTGCTAGAGTACAAAGCATAATATTGTAAAATATTCTTATCTCCTTAAATTAAATTATGAYCTAATATTTTATTTATACAGTGCTTGAAGATACTTAAATAAGCATGTAAAAATGGCACTTTATGCACAAACAAAACAATTAAACTCTCCATAAATAATATTTTTGGGGTTTCTTGGGNAAGCTAAAATAATGCTATTGGAATGCATTCTGCTCTTAGCAGATCAAGGTTCCCAGAGTGCAATTCATCTCACCTAACTCTGCTCACGCCAAATGAGGGTTACAGAGGGATATTAACATGAAACAACACACCATCAACGATTGGGGTAAATATGGATTACCAGTTTAGACTTCACACCTAATTTTCCACAGTGAAATTTAGACAAGATAAATTTTACTCTGTTATATTATTGTCCTCTATGAGGCTCTCTCTTGAACATTAGTTCACAATAAAAAAAATCCATGTTTAATTCACTGTGACTACTGTAAAATATAAAAGCACTCCCATGGCAAGAATCTGCAATGAAATTTGCCAAAATGGCAGGGTCAACTCAAAATGCATGAAAAACAAATAAAAATACTCATTTTGTCAGCAGATCAGAGGCTGCTCCCATGCTGAGATAACACCACCTGAGCAGCTTCAGGGCCACTCCATCAAAATCCTTAACAAAGGAAGACAGAACCTTGAGGAGCTGATGAAGAGAACAGCCAAGATTTAAGGCAGATTCCTGGCTTAAACTCAGGAGGGATAAAAACMTTGAGCAGCCATTGCTGTCTCTGCCCTAAGAGTCATGTCTCAGTCTTCCCCTGCAACATGATTCTCCAGCAGATATGATTCTCAAAATAACTTTGTGTATGGCTCATAACATGGGATATTTGGGATATGGCTCATAAAGCGAGGATAGCCTGGGGCTACTCATGATAACACACAATAGAGCTGCACTCTCCACCTGATTTCTTGCAGTTAGAAGGGCTATAAATACAACAGCTGACAAGATATCAAACCTCCAAAGTCTTCCACTTTCCGTTCAGCCTGCTGCAGAGTTGCTGGTAGCTGGTAATTAGAACATCGAGCTCCTTTTTCAAAGCCTCATGAGCTGCTGGTGGAGCCTTTGCTATAAAATTGTTCACAGAATCTGCAATAAGCTTCACTTTCACTTCTTTCTGCAGGGCTTCCTCCTTTGCTCTCTGGAAAGGGGAAAAAAAAAAAAAAAAAGTAGTTGTAGTCCTAGTTTAAGAAGGAAACTTATTTCTAATAACTATCAAAATTCTCTGACAGAATTCTAGAGGGAGAAAAAAGCCAAACAATACTACAACAACAAAGTAAAATACAACAGCAGACATTTAATTCCCAGCCTTTCTGACATAATCCTAAATGCATTCAAAAAACCTTTGTTTCATTTTGGTGCTAATACACAATACTCAATAGAATTTATCATCTCACGCCCATCTAGTGTTCTGGAGCTCTCAGACTAATAGAACATTACAGTACTTTTTTTCCCCCCCCAAGAAATGCTCCAAATACCTGTGACTTGAATATCATAACTTATGAACCACAAATAACCAAAAAAAAATCTGTTGTGTTACAAAATCTTGTATCCAGACTTAAAGGTAAAATCACAGGCAAAGGAGAAAAAAAGGAAAATACTTCTGAATGAGTATTAATTCCTTGTCACTAACCTGCATTTAAAAGAAAGCCAGAATTATTTTTCCTCTACTGTGTATCTCACACTTTTGCTACTCTCTCTGGTGTTATGTGATCTTCATACCCATTACAGTTTTCTCTGAGTGTTTTCTGGGGTCTGTGACTGGAACCATATCACTATTGAGATCATAGTGATATTACAAAAAGTGTCATCACTGCCTACAGGCCTTTGCAGGAATTTACAATGAGACTCCCTCCACAAAAAACATGACATTTTTTTTTCTCTCTGAGTAAGTTCATGAACCAGAATAGTTGTAATCAGGCTGCCATTGCTAAGGAGGTTTACAGGGTTGCTCTTGACTTTCCTCTTCTCTAGCTGTGGGAAGAAATGGGCTGCAGAATGAACATGGAATTCTGGCCCAGATTTTCTCTCTTCTGTGACATGAGAGGTGGCTGCAATCCTTTGGGGAAAGGATCATCAAGAGCAGGTGATGGGATACACGACAAATAATCTGGTTATTTGCCTAGCTCAAGGTGTCACAGTCTGAACATAACAGAAGTTCATCTSAGTACAGAATATCTACTAGGAAATCCATTGTACATAAAGCTATTCATATCACCTCTTCCATTATGCAGTGCAATGGATAAAATTGAATTTTGCCATTCAGTTACTAAAAAGGAACTGTATCTTTAGGGCAGATATTTACTTTTGATATTTATGTCACTTACAATTAAGTTGTTCCATAAATTTCCATATATTATGTGCATTCTGACTGGCAGCAATTATTTGTGTCAGTAAATACAGAGATCACCAGTTGCATGGTCTGAAACTCTCAAACACTAGAAAAACCCATGGAAGATGAAGAGTTTGAAAACAAAGTGTTGGACAGATTGTTAAAGTATATGTATAATGACAACCAGGTTATAATCTGGCTTCCTGAATAGTACAAGCCAAAAAATTCACATTTGAAAAAGGAATTAAACCCACATCCAATGGTTTATCCAGAGCATATGTAAGCATGTATCASAAATTAGTGTTTTTGTCCTAAGGTCATTTTCATCCCACATGAAGGAAACATTATTCAGATCAAATATGCTGTTTTTRTATTTCTACATTAAAGACACAATATGCATGATAGCACACACCAACATGCATCCTTTTTTTTTTTTTCCTGCTCACTCTAGTGCAAAGAAAAGACATAAAACTGATTTTACCCTACTGCTTCTAACGCTCAATTTTTAGGAATTATTCCTTAAGTAAAAGAATGTTGAAGTTACATCCAAATCAAGTATCCAATGAAACAAAGGAAAAAAAGCACTGAGGTGTTGTGGAATATCAAATATTTTCTAGCATATTCCAAATAGAAATTACTCCAAGMCATCTACTATGTTTAACTTTAGGCAAGTAGATTTGACAAAGCAGCTAAAAGAAAGAGTAGACTTTCTTTACAATGAGAGCTTCAAAAAGAACTTGGAACACAGCTCAAGGAATTAGTTTATTTTTTACCTTCAGTTCCTCAACCGCTCTCTGTAACTCATCAGGTGTTTTATACTCAAAATCTCTTTCCAGATATTCTTCCTCAGCTTGTGTTATCCACTCATGCATCTCTGACAAATCCTTTCTGAGACTCACAGTCTTATCCAAACCACCTTTTAAKGCAGCCTTCTTAGCATAGGCCTTTAAGAAAGAAAAGATTACATGGTACTTAAAGCAAAGCTACTGTACAAACTTGACAATGCTTTAGCCTGAAAAGAATCAAATTAAATCCTATACTAATAACATTGCTGTAGTTAGGGAGATGTTAATGAGTAATCAGATAGATATTAATAACAGACAATCAAAAAAAGTGMTACATTTGTGTACATCCTTATTTTAGTGAAAACTGGCTGTGCAGAATGAGTCTGTAATGATTCTAGAATGGGAATCTACACCATATGCTGATGCAATCAGAAAATAAATCTAGAAAAAGAAAAACATATTTGAGGGACTGTCTTCTGTGAGAGGTGAAAAAAGAAAAAAACCACAGGAGACTTTGAAAGTGCATCCAAGGATGAAAGCAAAGCCTCTTGAGCTATAAAGTCAGATGACCTAACTAGTTTGAATGCAACTTGCTAGAGAATAAAGCAATATGCATATCTTTCCTCTATTGATTAAGTCAACAATGAATGTCTCAGAAAGGTGAATATTTTTAAAAAAAAAAGGTGATGAAAAAAATCCAATCTTTTGCTGGAAGAAACTATTCATCTTAAAAGGAAAAAGTACTACTGTTAAATCATTTGCCAGTCACTAAGTGGGGGTCATATGGTTGTGTTTTATTGCTCATGTGTAGAGGTAGATAATATTTTAGATTTTTAGATATTTTAGATCACCTCCATCCCAAACTATTCTCTGATCTTATTAATTGTGTATTAACCTATCAAAATTGTCCCTGACTGACCCATTTACCAGCTTTTAATAGTATTAAGAAGTTTGCAAAAAAATACTAAGTTGTACTGGTGATGTTCCTCAGAGTTGGGCTTGCAGAGTTTATTRCTCCAATATCCTGCTCTGTGGTGCTGCCTCAGTAAACATTATTTCCAGTAATATCAGGAGGTGTTTTCTTTGTATTTGGTCTTAATTTCTGGCAGTTATTGGTTTGTTACTCATCCTTGAGGACAGAATGTTAAACATAAATGCTCTTCTACACAAATGTTGTTTTACAGAACAAAATAGAGCAACAATCAGTGAGTATAAAAGCAGAACTTTATGTGGCCCTGCAAAATTAYACTTTCCTCGGTCCCAGCACCAGAAGAGTAGGTAATCTTCTCTCAYCTGTAAATAATATCTGAATTGTCAGTGATAATTGCTGATTGTCAGCTCTCATATATATATTATATATATTTATACATATTAACTGCATGTATATCAACACAAGCTGCCTTTTCCAAATCTTTTCAGAAAACTTCCACAGACCAAACTGATCTTTGTATTTATTATTTATGTATTTTAATAGCTGTTACTGAAGAAAGTGCATTAGAAATGCCCACTGAGAGGCAATAGTTTGTGTTGAATGGAAATTTTTGCAGGCAGATTTTCAGGGGAGTCAGAAGAAAGCTTCTATACTTGTAAGGCAGTACTTGAAATTTCTACCAGAGAAGTGTAAAGGTATCCAGCTTATTAATAACACCAAAAACAAAAAAAAATAAAAAAAAAAATTAAATACTCCGTACTAGTGAAAGGGAAAAGACTAAAAAACTGGATCAATAAGATGTCTTACAGATTTCAAAGGTCAACTTTTTTTTATGTTTATCAGAAAAATACAGAAAGACTATTTTCCACATGTAAAGTGAATAACAAAAATGTAGAAAATAACATACCATGTTACAAGGTAACAGTTTTACTTTATGCAAATATGCATTGTTATAGGCAAGAGAAAGAGCAAGTAGGAAACATTTAAAAGTAATAAAACATGAAAGATTATTTGAACTGTCATAAACAATAAGAATCCAAATGCCATCAAGGAAATAATAGTAATTTTTAGCCTCCTAATCATTAACATTATTTATTAATAATATCTTTAATTAAAATAAAAGAACTGTCCTTTCCTGTTATGTCCCATTCTCTCAAGTTCATGCAACCATTGGAGACTAATTTATACACATGCATATGTGCACATACTCTCAATTCCAACTGACTGAATTACACACCCTTCACTGCTTTAATATTTTATTTCATCCAGAGTAATGACGTGATTAAAGCAATGTAGAAGAAAACATAGATATAAATGCAGAATTTGATTGCTTTGGCAAATGCCTAAGCAGCACCTTCAGAAATCTACTTTTGCATAAATTACACTGCTGTTAGATCCAATATATTAGTGTATACTTTGTCATAAAAATAGTAAGATATTGTTTTACAACATAAATAAATACACTTTTCATGTACTGCTACAGGCTAAAGTAAACTCTGTAAAATATTATTTTAATTAATATGTCTAAATTCAGCTTTGTATCTACTGCATATGTATAGAAATACAAATTCTACCTATGAGAACCCTGATGATTAATTAAAAAAGAACCATTCACAGCGGGAGACTTGGTACCTGTTGGCAAATGTGGTCCCACTGAGCATTGAGATCCTTTAGTTCTGACTCTATTCTGGAAGCAAATTCTGGCTCTGCTTCACTCTTCATTTTCTTCCCAATCTCATTAACACTGTTCARACTGGGCTGGATTGTCTGGATATCATTTACCAAAGCCTAAAGGAATAGCAGAGGATTAGCAAGCTGCATTCACACAAAGTTTCAGTTATGGTATCCCTAAGAAATTGTGTCTACATGAGATTCTGACTTGTCTGGGGTCCAGATCTCCAGTCAAATGAGCACAATCAACAAATTTATCTATGAAAAAAAATAAAAAGGGAATGAGCAGCTGTAATGTGGCAAACTATTCTATACCAAAGTTATGGAAATTTTTAGTGTGTGCACTATAAATATACACATTTATAATGTATATATGACCCATATATCTCTTAAAATGTTTCCCTGCTTTTGGTTGAAAACACAAGAAATACCTAGATCTTTTACTTATATTTCTATTCATTATAATGATAATTTAAAAAAAATGGCTAAGAGACAGTATGAGGAACTTGCAGTTCCGTAAGATCACTGTGTCTGTTTCATAATATTTACACATCCTGCCAGAACATTTACAGGACTTGTAAATTCCACTGAACATACAGACAGGGACCATAATGGATTTCAAGATTCAATGCACTCACACACTCTGTTGGGACAGGAAGAAGAATTTGTAAACCTTGTGATGGAAGTACCAGTACTTCATAATGTTTTAAAACTCTGCTGAGACAACATCCTGGAACTTGTAAGTTTAGTGGAAAAAGAATGGATATAACTTACAATACCTGCAAGTTCTTTTTGCACAGTCAGAAAAGTTTGKAAATGGTGTGAGTAACAGGTACAGAAAAAGATCTTTTGTCACAATTTATACAGATTTAAAAAAAAAAAGTTCAATGTTTTTAAGATCAACACAGTAAATAATCAGTTGACTTTAGAGTCTAGTTGCATATTATTTCCTGTATTTGATATTTTGCTCCTCCTATAAATACACAAAAATACCATCAACTGTGTGCCTCCTTCTGCTATTAAAGTTTCCATGTTTTTAATTGAGTTTTCTTTCAAACTCAGGTCATGCAAAAGGTTCAAATACACTGCAGAAGACAATCCCCCTTCTACATGGATTTATATTTAGGAACAGTAAAATTTCTGTAATTTCTGTATAAGCTTGGCTCATAGAGAGGGATTGAGTAAATGCCTAGCAGGCAGGCAATACTCACTGTGCATTGCTCAAGTTGCTTTTCCAGTGCTTCTGAGTCTCCAAGGGCTGGCCACTCCTCCTTCAGAAAAACATCYACTTCAGCCATCCACTTCTTCAGTGTTTTAATGTCATTCTGTGTATTAAAAAGACATTTCATTGCATCACACAAAACCTGACAGGCAAGAGYGTAATTCATCCTGACACTACAAATAAAACTCATTGCAATGTAATTTCAAGATTATTGAACTGTCTGAAAATACAAACAGAGCAAACAAGCAAAACCAATTTTATCCAGGACTGCCATCAACACTTTAACCTGCACTTTGACCATTTCTGACCAAGTTTAATGTGTCTACRAGCAGGCAACTTTATGGCCCTCAAATTTATGCCTTCCAGATATCATTTGTGTTTGGATATTGCATTCTTGTTCATTGGTTCCTTCTATGGCTTCAGATTACTCACACTTGGCATTTAATTCAGGCTCACCTATCAAATCTTCTGTGCTTCCTTTTAAACCTCAGACTCCTTCAGGAAGTTATATGCTCTAGTGTCTATTATTCCGCCAGAACACAACACAGAAAAATGCCCTTACTATTTAGAATGAGGAAAAAACCAAAAAGTAACTGAAAGAGATTCACCTCTGAAACTAAAATCATATAATGACTCAATGAGTCATTCCAGACTCTCACTTACTTTTTCTACCACCGGAATAGTAATATTATTTCCATAGCCTTTATTTAACATTTGCAGTTAATAAAAAAAAACAACATCAAATACTTGAAAAGAGGGAATGCTACCATTTCAGGTACCATTACATAGGTAATCCAATTAAACTTGAAAAGTAGAATGAGAATGAAAWAAATATCACTTAAAATTACCTTAAAATGTTATCTTAGATAAACAATTTGATGAACAAATTAAAATAAAAAATCTTATATGGCAAAAAAAAATAGAAAGTAAATGATAAAGCATTTTTTCTTCAAACTGTTTTCGTCAACAATGAAATATGTATCAATATTAAATGCTGTATGCAAAGTTGAATTAAAGCACAAAAAAGGACATTAGAATACAGACTGTGTCCTAAAATGCATACAAATATGCCTTGGTAACTATTATGAGACAGGTAACTAAAGGGAACATTTCCCTAACCTGACCGTTGTATTTAAAAACAACAGGCTACCATGGAAAATGAACTGAATCAATAAAATTAATCATTCAGAAATTATCAGTATACTTCAGAATGGCAGTTACCAAAACACCGTTGAAATATCTACTGTGCATTCCATTATCCAACAGTAAAAATAGTTCAGAATCATATTTCATGATRAAACTTTAATACCTTTAGAAGAATATTTTAAGTATAGCTCATTAATGTGGTAAAATATAGATCTGATGGGATTTAYTTAAAAAGAGATTAGTCTCCAGCTACCAATGAAGATCAAATGTATGACTCACATTTTCAATCAGATTGTAAATGCATTTTGTTTACGAACAGTGATTTCATCATATCCCATACTGATRCATCTCATAAATTACAACAGTTAAAACAATAATCTGGATTAGAAGTCATTCAACAAGCTGAAAATACAATGAATTTTATATTAGATGTGTATGAGAGGGATTTCAGCAATAAAAGTAAGGGCTAAAATTGGTGTGCAGCAACAGCTCACACAGCGTTAAAAATACATGTTCTCCACAGCATGGTCATGATGTTCAGGACCTTTTTAAGAGCCRTGGGCAAACCCCTAAATTTGGCCAGGGAGGCAGGGGTGGAGACGGGAGGCAGAGGGGAGGGAAAAGACAAAAGTTTGAATTTCTGAAGCAAAAAGGGCATTGCTTTTTTATGTGTCACTGTTTTGGGAGTAGGGTGACATCTGTGAGGACAGGGACAGGGACAGTTCCAGCTTCCTCCTGTGGAACCACCACAGGATGTGGCTGATGCTGTGGTGATACAGTGATGCTCGGTGACAGCGTAGTTAAAAAAGGGCAAAAATCTCAGACAGACAGAAGAGGAGAGGAAAGAAGTGAGAAACAGCCCTGCAAAATGTGAGAAACAGCCCTACACATACCCAGGTCAGGTTTCAATGCTGCCATTCTAAAGACCTGAATTACAYTTCTGGTTTCTGGCAACCACTGCCGAGATAGCACTATATTATAGATGACTTTAATTATGTAAGTGAATTCATTAAAGTCAGTGTGGTTACAGCTACTTCAGGTGCATGAATAAAYGCTTCAGCTAAACTGAAAAAAGGAAGCAGAGGAACATTAATAGCATTTTTAACTGAAAGCTTTTTGCTGCTGAAACAACATAGAAACAGGCCAAAAAATCAGAATTCAAAGTAAAATCTTGGCCCCATCAAAACCAAGCAGACAATTAAAAACATTATTTTATACTGTTTTGATCATCTCACTTTGGCGTTAATTTCTGGAAGTACCTAAATGTGTTCTGTCCCAATCCCACAGCAGAAAGCCACCACGTGAAAAGGTGGGGTGAAAAGAGTGAAAAGGTTTGATTAACCTGGAATCGCTGGAGTTTGGTCAGGCGCTCCTCCAGCTTCTGGCAATGTTCTGCCAGCTGCGCTGAGAGCTTCTTCCAGCGGCCAAGGACCACCTCAACCTCCGAGCGGTAACTCTGACTGACTTCKGCGGGGGCTTTCCTGGACAAATCTTCCACAGTCGTGCTCAGATAGTTCAGGCCCTTTTGCTGCTCTTGCAGAGAACTTTGGAGAGCCTATGAATAAGAAGCAAATGGAATCTTGACCGGTGTGCTAGGCAATTCTCTTCATTTCACAAACACAGGCAAGACACGGAGGTCACTTTTGCTAAAATACGAGATGGCATAATTTACTGGGCTATTTAGAAATGTTTTTCTCATGCAAAATAGGAAGTAGATCTTTTAGTAGAACTGAGAATATAACCAGAGGTATTTATACTTGTTAATAGATGTGATCTATGTAAGTTTCATTTATTTGCAATAGGAATTTACTATTTGAGATAGGAATTTACTATCTGCTGCACTTTCAAAAGAACCAAAGAACCAGAACACAGGGGAAAAGAATAAACTTAAAGAACTGATTCTGTGACATAAAGTTTTTGACAACTTCTCAATACTTTTACAATTCTCAGCCTGAATTTACTTCATCTAGCTTTTTTCCTATATTCTACTCTTTATTTCTGAATGTGCATCAAGCAATATGCTCATTAGCCATCCGAGAGAACTCTATCAGACATTGAGATACGGGGAAGGTTTTCTCCCACTGGCAAAATTTGTCCCACATTTGCATCTGCTTGTAAATTTGACAAGAAATCTGACAAAAGACTGTGCTGCATTTTGCAAATCAGAATTGTTTTCATGTCAGCACTGGAAAATGAAATGATCTAAATCTATATTTAACTACCAGAGCTATCATCAAAGGAATATTTTATATACCAAGGGGACAAACAAGGGCTTTTCCTTAACATTTGCAATATCTTATAAAATTGCTCTCAATGGTGAAAACCCCTTTAAACTCTTTAACTTCAGGAGTTAATATAAGCAAGCAATCACCATCTCCTGAAGCCCTGACCTAAAAAGCAAATGGGCATTATTCAGCAGACTCATGACAACTAAGGGGTTTATTCTTCTAAACTTCTCAGCTGAGACAWTCATCCCCACAGCATCATCACTCACCTTGAACTCCCTGAGTCTCTGCTCCATGATTTCATATTCAGCAATTGCAACCTGAGGCATGGAGAGTTTAGTTTCTGACTGCTGCATCCACACAAGTATAGTGTTCATTGTCTCCTTGTAGTGTGCAGGAGGCAAACTGTCAAAAACTACATTCAATGGGGAAAAAAAGGGAAGGAAATAAAGGAAGGAAGGAAGGAAATAAAATAATTTTTTTCTTCACTATTTGGTTTGCTGACAGAAGACCCTTGATAAAAGACCAAGCCTCATTGATATCTATGGCTGTTTGGTAAGAGAGTGCAATAGACCCAGTGTGTATCAGAACTATAAAAATAATTTTGGAAGCAAAAATATTTTGCAAAATGAGCACACTCCTAATGTTTGAGATATCTTTATTATTTTATGAACGCTGTGTCATTTGACCCTGTTATTATTCATCAGAAGACAACTTCTATGGCCAAGACAACTATTTTAAATATATGTGTTCAGAGATCAATGGAAAAGCCATAGTACTTAATCTAAAATCTAATTTCAGCAATGTATTAAGAACAAGGGTTCCCTTTCATGGCCCATGTTTATGTGCTCAATGTTTCTGTTCAAGTAAAATGTTCCATTTAAGACATCTGTTAAAAGCTTAGAAAATTAATCTTCCTTCTACAATAAAGTTGAATTTTATTGAACTGCGCTTATTGTGCCAACATTACAGCTGCTGCAAATACACAACATCTGGCACACACATGAGAAACTCATTAGCACAGACATTCCCTCTACCATTAGCAGTTGCCTCTGTACTCACTGAAAAATGTACAAATAGCATGGCTGGTTAGAACTGAAACATTTCCAACTTGTACCACATAATAATGAAAAATATAAAAGTTAAAAAAAGTTACACCACTTTGTATCTCCTGTATGCTCCTCCATCTTTCCTGGTGTTTCACAAAGAAATCTACAGCAAAATAATATAGCTGTCTAAAAAACATTTTTTACAAAAAAATACAGGTAAAGTTTATAAGAGTAAGCTTGCTTTCATCATACAGATTCTTGGCAGACTGTATTTCAAATTTAACCTAATTTTTTAATTGATCAACAAAATGCAACATGAAAAAAAACTTATATTTCCATTCAGATATCACAACAACATACAAAAAGCAGGACAATCAAAGCTGTCTTTTGTGAAGTATGTACATTGTGCAGCAAACTTCCTCATGAAAGTCTTGGCTGATCTGATTTATCATTCAAATCTGGAGATTTACAAAGGATGGTATTTGGTACCAGGAAAGACAAGAATTTCTTCCCTTGTGAGGTATTTTTGTACGAAAAATCAATAGTAATATATTCTTGGAAACACAAACCCAAACATTTTCCACCTCATCCAATAACATTTTAAATCTTTACTTTCCTTAGTGAAATTTGTATTGTCTTTGACTCATTTAATCCAAACAATTTCTACCTTAGAATAGAACATATATTTAAACTCTTCACTCCAAATGAATGAAGATATAATTTCAGCTGCTCAAGTATGTTAAAGTTGTTATGCAACTCTTAACTGCAGTTTAATTTAGAAATATGAAATGGAATTCAGTATTTTGATGCAATGTTTGACTTCTCTAAGTTATTTTTTTCCTTTTAAATGAAAAACAAATCCTATGACTAATGTAGAACTTCAAGGATTTAAATAAAAGAACATCTGCTTTCTGTAGTACTGAAGAGCACCTCAGAACAGGTGAAAACTGCTATAGCAATCTACATCAAACTGCATTAAACTCTTACCCTGCAAGTTTAATAATAATAATAATAATAATAATAATAATAATAATAATAATAATAATAATAATAATAATAATAATAATTTTAAAACTACCCAAACACTGCAAATATTTCATTTAACCATAATAAATTAAGTTTTCTACGATTTGAAGGACTAAATAAGAGTTAAAAGGGGATGACAGATGTTGGTTTAATCAAGCTAGGGTCTTAACAATTTGGTTATTAAATATTAACTTTAAAAATCATCTTTGAGTGAAACCATCATTTTTCCATTCCACTTTTCCATACTACCAAAGATTAGTAATAGTACAATAATTTTGGATTCTGTTTAAGATAGACAATGTGTCAGCATTTTCATCCACAAGGAAGCAGATTTTAGGCTGGCACTCAAGAGCCCTTATTATTTCAGCAGCAAATTTTGTCATTGGTGAGAATTCAAACTCCTACARTGGGAGTAGGAGTTTCACCTTCTAACATTACCATATAATAACTGTCTAAACAATCTAACCCATTTATGGCTTCTCTGTGGGCAGTATGAATCYCTAAACTCCCCATGCTAATAACATAAAACCACATTCAAGACCTGTTTCTTTTTTATCCCAAAATTTGCTTTGTGATACCAAAATTCATGGATTAAAGTCCACATGATAAGCCAAGTGCATTGATCATATTAAAAAATGAATTGGCAATGAGAAAGATATAGTAAATCCTCAATATGGGCCTAGTTTAGACATAGCAAAACTAGATCCATGACAGAACTGTGGCAAAATATCAGGGGGAAATTACCAATATGTTAGTGTGAAATATCAGAACACAGTTCCCATCCCAGAAGGGAAAAATATTTTWGTATTATGCAATTTATTCCACTTGTAGGGAATGAGGTTTGGTGTGACTGACATTGTAACCCCCAGGAACTGACAGGCAAATATATTTGAACTTGYATATTTCTTTTAGAGAAAGTCCTTAAATTTGGTAACAGAATGTTCAAATATGTTGGTTAGGATATATTTCTATTTCTATATTTCTATCTAAACATATGAAAATAGCTTTCCAAGTAAGAAAAATATTTTGTTTTTCTTTCCTGCTTCCTTGTTTTTTTTGTGACCAGATATTTCAGTCAAAAATATTTTCCCAAATCAGAAACGAAACGAGAACACAATTATCTCGGCAATGTGTTTCTCCTACAGTCAGTACAAATCCCACTGTTCATCACACCAACGTGAAAGGAAATAAATATTATCTAAGGGACCATTTTAGTAAAGATTWATTCCCTGAAATAAACTAACAAGATTGAATTTCATGTATTTCCAATAAAAATCTCCTCAGTAATAAATGCAATTTAAAACCAGGCTGATTTTTTCACAACATTGTTTTGCTTATTTTTGTAATACAAATACCTGAACCAATTCATCAAGGTCTTTATACAGATGTCTTCATAAAAGCTGTGATTCCCTTCTCCTACTTTTTTAACCAGAAAGTCTCCAAGTGGAATCTTGTGTAATACTTGATCAATTTTATGGAAGTGATAAAAGACTTCCAATTCTCTTTGTTATAAAGCTCTTAAAATAAATAGAAGGGAATAATAGAATCACAGAATTGTTTGAGTTGGAAGCAGCCTTGAAGACCATTCAGTTCCAAAGCCCCTGTCATGGACAGGGACACCTTCCACTAAACCAGGTTGCCCAAACCCCATCCAACCTGAACTTGAGCACTTCCAGGGAAGCCCTTCTTCAGTCTACAGGATCTAATTCAACAGTAAATATCTTTTAAATATACAGTTATTTTTTAGGTGGCTTAATTTCCCATCTATAAAAAAAAATAAAAAAAATCATTTTTATCACTGAGGAAAAGAATAAAATCACCTACACGGTAAAGGACATTATCTCATACACATTCATTTCACAGGCTGCTTTGTCCTTTTGATCTTGATTTAAATAAAAAATAATTACCGGAGGAAATGGATGTGGGAAAAAAAAGAAAAGAAACTGCTTGCATGCTACTTATTAAAACAATAAATTCTCACACACATCTGAATGGTATCTTCAGCTTGAAAGACACATTCAAAGAAGGTTAAGCAAACTTCATCCCTCAAAATCAAACCAAATGAATATTTTTACATCATAGGTCAGGTCCTAAAGAAAACTTATTACATTTTTCAGGACACTTACTTAAAAATTCCCTTCCTCAAGTATACAGCGATTTGTGAAAGATTGTTTTATGTATTATTAGAATTTCACTGCCACTTATAACCCATTTCCAATGCACATTGAGCATCAAAGTAAGTTAGCCAAAGTAGAATAATTACAGACTAAAACTCCAAATGATCATCATACTGTTACAGTTACTGTGGTTTATTAATCTTATAAAATTCTGCCAAGTTTGAATTGTATGAGCTCTATGCAGTACAACAATTTAGGATACTGTACTAATGGGTTAGAGAGAATAATGATGTGCATGCAAAATAATTTGAAGCATGGCATCACTAAGTAAAAAACTTAAAGAATCTTGACATGGTATGGAAGGCAAAAAACTTTCTAAAGTACTTCTTGAAATAAATAAGAGAAACATTATTTAAATGCAGATGAATAATTCATCATTAATAATAACAACARCAATGATGACAATGATGACTTCACCTCAGGGAATTACTGATCCTGGAAAGGCAGAATCAGAATTTGAAAGGAAAGCATAGAGCATAAATTTCTGAAGCAGAGAAAAATGGCAATAAACATGACTTTCTCTTTGCCACCTCCATCTTGATACTTTTAATTTTACCTGTGACAAAAGTGTGTTTGTTTTTTTTTTTTTTTTTTTAATTACTTTTTAAAAATCTGGCAATTTTCCAATTTCCCTCTGAAGAACAGCCCCATCAAAATGAGAACATGTATTTTAATCAAGACCACGACTGGATAACAGCTCAGAGCAGCAAAACTGAAAAGCAGAAGCAGTTTAATGGAATTTAGTTCAGTCACAGAGCTCGAGGATCCTTATGCATCAGAAAAGACAATGAAGTGCTGGAACGTTAAGAAAAAGCAAAAAACACCCTCTTATGATGATGAAAAAGGTATATATTTTTAACATAGAATCCCTAATTATGATTTTTTTAAAAAAAAAAAATCTTTCTAAACACAAGTAAGTTTTGTGTACAGGAAAAAAAAAAAAAAAAAACCCGCAGCAAATACTATAACTGATCTGCAAAACATCTTTCAGTCTTCAGGAAATGCTTCCATATGCAGGAAATAACTAATTACAAATAATTTATGTAAATAAACGATGAAAAGATCCAAAATCCTCTTACAAAATTTCAATGTTTTCTATGAAACTAAAGGCCAGAATGAAGACACGGGGTATGGCTCATCTGTACAATACAAGAAAAGTACTGATTGAAGAAAGCAGAAGAAACTCAGTCTCAAAGAGCAGAAATTTCTATGCTTTGGATTCAGGTTGAGTTTTTTTTCCCATGCATGTTCATTCATTTCCACAGCAGTTATGAAAGGAAATGAGAACTTTGAATAAAACTCTGTATAAAATTTCTGAACATAAAACATGATTAATATAAAAATCTCACCTAAAACACCACTACAGGTATGTACTGCATGGGATTAAAAAAATCTCATCTTGACAGCTGAACCATTAGAGATGAAACACTCATGATGCAGATGAAGCACTCATGATGCAGAGTAGTTACCCTGACAGTAACACCTGTCCAGGGATCCATGAAATATTTATGTAGAGACTTCTGTTCTCTTACACTTGAGGAGACCTCCCAATCTGTTCAATGCTTTCACCTCAGGACAGATGTTTCTGCAGCTGCCCAGGGCACTGGAGGAGMTCTCTCCAGCCCAGGAGGGGGAAGGAATTCCCAGGAAGAAGAACTTTATCAAAGCCCATGGCTTCACATTCAGKCAGGGAACACTATTTATCATACTGGACTAATCAATTGGTTAATTCATGACCTCTCACTACAGTAAAATTTGATGTGGCAAGCCCAACAATTATGGAATTTTAGATAGAGAAGCAATCATAAAAAAGCTAGTATTTACACTATTCTTCTGTTGGGAGAATGGCAGCTGATTTCAGCACATAAAAGAGTCACATTAATGCTTTTTACATCTTACCCACTATACCTTGACTTTAGAGTAACAAAAAAACTTTACACTCCTTAATGTTAAATTTCCACAATTCATCCTTTCATCACTTGCTATGTGACACTTGCATTTTATTTCTTCAGTTCTCGTATGCATCATCATCTTTTCAATTTGCATATGTGAGGACATGTGAAATAACTACAGTAGTGCAGTAATGTAGTGTTGAAAAAAAAAAAAAAATCCGAAACTCTCAGTGGAAGAATTTWGGAGGAATATTATAAAAAATCCACTAGAAGGAGCTAGCACTATGTCAAATTTCAAATCAGTACAGTAATTTAGGGATATCACTGGTTTAAGGGGCAGATAATATCTTTGTTGGTGAGAAAAGTTAAATTTGTATTTCTTGTCTGATGATTAATTTCATAATCTAATACAGAAAGTATACAGCAGTCACCGATATGCTATGTATCATTAATTAGGGACAGTTAACTTTCTATTTTGTTATAGCATTTTGCCTCTTCTGAAAAATTCATTTTACTAAAAAAATAATGCAAATAGTGTTACAACTGACAGTCACGTGCTCTGTGTTGCAACAAAGAAAGAGTTGGCCACATGATGAAAAACTAGATATGCTCAGGTAGCTWCTCTCTTTGATAGATTTATGGAGTTAAATTTGTATTCTGTGAAAATCTAGAGCAGATACACTCCTGTAATTAAGCTCTCTTTCCTCTCCACTGATTGATAGGGATGGACTGCCCCATCTTCTAACCCAGCTAAATAAAGACAGTTCTRTGGTGCCAAAAACCATCACTGAATCTGTCCATAAGCACACTAACAAGAGGAGGTTTGATGGTAGAACTACACTGAGTGGAAGCTTGATTTTTGAATAATGTACCTTCCCTTGAATGCTTATTAARAGAAAATATGGAATGCACTGATAATTTTTGGAAGATTAATTCAATTGCAAGGAAGAGCACCTAAATAGCACTACTGGGTTGATATAACAAAAGTAAATGTAAAACTGAGAAAGCAAAATATGTACAACTGTTTTTTGTGTGCTAGTCAGGCAAATGGGACTTGCCAAGAACACTTACTGGTCTGTAGCTGTTTTTCTCTGGTGTGCATGTCGGCAAATATTTGTTTGAAATGGCTGGTGAAAGCAGCAAGGTCAGCATCCAGGAACACTGGTCCTTGTTCTTTCTCTTTGAGTGCTTGACTTTGAGCCTTCAGCCGCTCAATTTGAGGCTGCAGGGTTGACATTCGAATGATTTCATCCTKCATGTTTGAACAAAAAGAAAAACAAATCAAGATACAGCTACCCAAGAAATGAAATCACTAGTGCCACGAAATCACCACTGTTTCAGTGCACCTTACACAGCTGTTTTGCTTCCAAAYACAACAGCTACAACAACAAACCAATACAACATTTTAAACCTTTCCTCACAAATCAATACCTCTGCTCCMAATAAAGTTGTTGATTGATACCACTGCTTAAAGTCACCTTAAAGTCACTTTCACAGGACATTGTGCTCAAAGAAATTAAGACAGATTGTATATTAAAATTTCAAGACGAAGGAACATCCTTTTCAGGTGAAGCTGGGAGGAGAAAAAAAAAAAAACAACAAAAAACAAACAAAACATGTCTACTGTAATCCTGGACCCATCTCTGTTAGATTATGTACAGACTAAATATCACAGAAAGGTGAAGATTCCCAGGAGGCAGTGACCACCTCTCCAGGAAGCCTTTTTGTTAGTCCAGGAAGCCTTTTTCCCTCCCATTGCAGTCTAAACCTTCCCTGGCACAGCTTTGGACCATTCCCATGCATCCTGTCACTGGACACCCAGAAGAAGAAAGCAGAACCTTCCTCTTCACTCTCCACTCAGGAAACTGCAGAGAGCAATGAGGTTGTGCTGTTATTCCTTGTATACATTGTGAGACATGCAAACACTGCAGAAAAATAAATGAGCAAAGTAACCAAATGTACAGTTCATAGCAGAGCTATCCAAAGGAAAGTTTGCTGCATGAGAACAGAGAGCTCTGTAAGTACAATGTCAGCTTGGAAACGCCTGAAAATTGAAATAATAGCACACATCTCAATTTAGGTTTCAAGTATTTTCTGTTTGAGAGCTTCTGAAGTCTGAGATTTCCTGAAGCCAAACTCCTGAAAGTATGTCACACAATTTATAATGCAATACTACCCCTCAATATATTCCTGTCAATCAATATTGGCTTCCAAGCTCCCCACCCACAAAGTTGTCTAGAGTAAGAGAGAGAGGCCAATTTCTCTCTTACACAAATAAAAACAATTAGGGAGAATTTTAAGTGAATTGGTGTGGCAGTTTTTGTACAACTATTGTGACTCTCTCATATCACTACAGAAGAATATTCCTGCATTTGGTTATATAGCCCTCACTGAATCAGAACCCAGGGTGTGTAAGAAGTAAAGTGGTCTGCAATGGCAGAAGTTTAGACTTAAAAAAAAATTTCTGGCACAGATCCTTAACAGAAGTGATGAGCAACATTTTTTTAATGAGAAACCAAAATCTCCAAACGGAGATTTTTACATGAAAATGATAAATGAAAAAGGCCACCTTAGGGTTATCATTCACTGTAAGTGTTTAAATATCTTAATAAATAAATACTTTGGGCAGAGTTTTAAAGACCCATATTCTTTGTTCTTTTGCCTCTTTATTTGTTCACCAGTCTTTCCTTTCCCTGAATAAATATTTTTAAGCATTACTTTGTCAATCCAAAAAGTCCATTCACTATTTTTATACGAAAATACCGTAGGTCACAATCTATCCCACTGTTGACAGACCTGTCCCACGTATGACACACAAAAAAACTTGAAGAAGAATCTCTAACCTTGCATCTTTCTAGCTGGGTTTTCACTGTAGCAGGATCTGTTGCTGGTGTGGGTTGTGCTTTCAGCCAGTTTTCTGCAGTAATTGCTGTCTGCTCCAGTTGCTGCAGCTGGGAGTAGAAGTCAATGATGTTATTTTGGTACTCCAGCCATGCCAGTCTTTCACTGAGCAACTGACAGAACTCAATCCAGCGGCTCTTCAGCTGCTCCGAGGCTTGTCTAATGTTGTCAGGGTTCAGACCCTCTAGAAAAACAAGAGAAGAGGATGCTTAAGGATAAACAAGTTACTAAGAAAAGGAAAAAAAATGTAGGCTGGTTTAAAAATTCAGTTTCTCTATTTGGGAGCTCATAAATCCAGTTAATGATTTATCACCAAATAACAGTTCTGAATATACAGATGTTACACATTAGTGGGGAAGGCATATCAAAAATATTTAAAGTTGCTGCCTGGGTACTTTTGTTGCTATGGGAATGAATTATAAACTACATTAAAGTACAAGAATGGGAATAAAGCAGAAAGTAGAGATACAATGCATAAAGCTAATTAAAACTGCTGTAAGAAATAAGAAAATGCCTGACAGCTGGATTTTGAAAACTATGCCTGGACTGTAATTAGATTTTAATGTACAAGACTATTGCTGGCTTTTCTCCCATTAAAAAAAAAAAAAAAAAAAAAAAAAAAAAAAAAAAAAAAAAAAAAAAAAAAAAAAAAAAAAAAAAAAAAAACAAAAAACCCAAAAACCTGATTACAATTAATTTGAACTATATTCCACAATTATTTTGAGGTTTCTGATAATCCAATCCTTAAATCCTGCATTACATGTTATGTTAGAAACACCATAAACACTAAGGAATAAACAAAGTATCAGATCAAAYCTCCATCTAGGCCAGTCCTGTGTGCCCAGCAATGACCATGAGGAGACAAAAAAGAAGAAAGCCAAGAAACCATAGCTGATTTCTCTAAGGTTGTTTTCAAAGTCATGGTTTCTCTGATGTARTTTGCCTATTTCTGTCTGTTTAATAGTCATGCTTACATTAAAGTTCACAGAATAAAACTGACTTTAGTTATTACAGRCAAGGAAATTATTTAGAACAATTAAAAGGTAAAAAGATTTTTCTTCAGTTTCTGTGAAGAAAGTAAAGTAATACATATGAAAGATAAGAAAAGATGTGTAACATAATTAAAAATTAATCTTGAACTCAGAATGGCTTCRAAAAAATATTAACTTAATCATCTCATTTATTTTTCAATGGAAGTTTAAATGTAGTCCCTAATATTTTTTTTTTAAAAATTGTAACAAGATGTAATGATACATGTAGCAATAGGACCAACATTGGTTCCAAAATGAATAAAATTCTCAAAGCATTGAGCAATGCCATATGCTTAAGATCGTTTTTAACCATAGTCATACAATACTAACAAGTAAAACAGAACTATGTTTTTATCAAAATAATGAAAATCAGAGTATTTTTCTTTAAAGCAAGTTTAAAAGCAAATGAGACAAAAGCCTTCAATGTTCCTTTCTTGCAATCTTTGACACACTGTCCAATATGGGTTTTCTGGTTTGTAATCTGTATTCCAAATCTGCAGGCAAATTTTTTTTATCAGGATTAAAAGATGGTAAAGTCAAAGGCAATTTTGGAAGGTAGGACATAAGAAACAGAGTCCTAATTACAGCTAAATGCCTTAAATAAAAAAGCACTAGACTTTTTTTTTTCTTTTTAATAATAAAATCTCCTAAGGAATTGCTGTAATGCATGCTCTGTGGTAAACCACAAATGATAACCTGAGATCAGGTCTGCTGTGGAGCACCACAGTGCTCTGGCAAATCCTGTTCTGGATCCAGCTCAGGGCTATTCCATTCAGAGTTGCTTGGAAACAGCCCATTTGGAAACAGACTGTGCAGCACCTGATAGCAGCTCTCTGGATGTGCTTTTGCTCTTGGATGATGCCCTAGCCAAGCAAATTGTACAGCATTTCAAAAGGTAAAACTACAGGAAGAATAGAAAGCCCAGCAGTAGTGGGAGATAATGGCAACTGTGGTGGTTGGAGCAGCTCAAAATCCACATTATACTCAAAAAAATGAAGAGCACAGTCTAAGGACTGAGCAAGGATATAAAATAAACCTTAAAGCACGAAGAGGCAAAAAGTATTTTGACACATCTTAATAAAATCCAGAGGTGATCTGGTCTTCTACGAGTGTTTGTGTGCATCTGGAGATGTGGAAGCATAACTACATTTTCTAAAAGTGTGACTTCTAATGAGCATGGGGGGAGGCAGCACAAACCTGAATGGCACAGCACATCTGAGTAACAGCCACAGACAACCAGGCACACAGATACTGAATCTTAACAACAGCAAGAACAAACATATGTATAGACAATAAGACTTTAACTATGCTATATTTCAACAATTGTTTCTGTTGTGAGTTGGTTATAAAAATGCTGTATATTCATAACAGAGAGCAGATTATCTTTGCCACTGTGTTCATTATTATCTCTGAACCTGGAAGACATTGCCTGTGAGTTTGGCAGACTAGATATAAAAAGATCTCTTTATTTATTCCTCCTTTCCTCTCTTTTCAGATGCCACAGTCTCCAAAGTACCCTTAGGCAAGATTATGATTACCAGGAGAAGAGCAGTCATGGATTTTCCACACATAATAATACTACTCACTGCAATATTTTCTTCAAGGATTCAAAAAAAGACTCTGTTTCAGATGAAAATCTAGATTCACCTGATCCTTTTTTCTTATTTTGCTCTTAACGTGACACTTAAATATTTGAAAATTATTACTATTATGCAATTTTTCAATAATTCTTTCATTTAACATCTAACCTTTGAGATCGAGTGTGATTTCATAAGTGCACAGAAAAAGAAATGCTTTTGCTCTTCATGTTACTGGAGTGGACAGAACAAAACTGCTTTATGCAGTCATGTTTGGTAAAATATTGCAGAGATGCACCTCCATTAGGCAGCACCATGTCCTACTGAAAGGTAGATAAAATCTCTTTAGCRTGTGTTTTTAAAACTGTTATTTCTCAGTCCATTCAGGTTACTCAAAATTGTCTATCAGATGCCAGCATGCCACTTCCAGAAGGATGTAATTAAATGGCTGTTATTGCACTTGAGATCATTTGGGCAAGTTTCACCCATGGTGAAAACCAAAAATTTCACAGAATTACGGAACTTTTCGGATTGTAAGGGACTTCTGGAAATCAGCCAATCCCACCCCCTGCCCAGACATGGTCACCTGGAGCAGGTGACACAGGAATGTGCTCAGATGGGCTTTGAATGTCTCCAGACAGGGGGACTCCCTAACTTCCCTGGGCAGCACTGAGTTCCAGTGCTCTGCCACCCTTAAATRTAAAGAAATTCTTCCTCTTGTTGAGGTGAAACTTCCTGTGTTTTAGCTTATTACTCCTTAATAAACTCTATTATTCCTTGTCCTGTTTGAAACTTTCTTCTGTGATCCCCTCGTTAACTTCAGCAACTTTGGCAAGACGTATAAAAAGTTTACAGGCAGGTGAAGAAACAATATAAAACACATTTTCTGGTAAAACATTATTTTATGAATAGTAGTTGGCTCATAATCTTTTCATGTTTCACGTTCTAAAAGCTTCTGGTTTAATCATTGTATAAATATACTGCACCCAGAGGAAACAGATCATTATCTGAAGTGCATCCATTAATTTTATTACCTTGTATACTGCACATAACAAATTGTGCCTGAATATTTTTAATTGTGCAGCACCTTCCATGCAAGTGCTTTGGAATTGCCACTTAATATGAAGTATATCTTGTTAAGTGCATCTGTCATTTGCTATGGTTCTGTGATAGAATAATGTAATCTTGGGTTTTTGTAGCTTTTCACTCTTGTGTAACTTACAAGATAATGTATTTCTTCCACGGAATGGTGACATTTCAAAATTACATGTTTTATTGCAACAAAATCATTTGTATTTGTTCTAATGCTACTTATCAAAATTCGCTGATTACTCATTTTCATGCCCTGTTTGTTTTATTCTAAACTACTGTAATAGCCAAATRTCCATTCAAGCTGCTAAACTGCTTCACTTCTACACCAACAGATTTGTTACTCTATTTCAGAATAAAATTTAGTAAAGAAAAATAAACCTTTTTTTTTCTTTTTTCCCCGAAACAGTGGTAAACACAATACATAAATTTTTAAATAGTCTGATGATTAAAATCATCAGACTATTTTGAAAGCATGAGCAAGGAGAGGCAGAGCCAATGTGGGTGGCAGGGTAAAGAAGCATCCACCAAAAGCACCAACAGTTTCCTTTCATGGGAAAAGTCCTTCAAATGGCAATGTCCACACACCCTGCTCACAGGGTCRCCCTGTGACAGGGAAATTCTTTCTGGTACAAAATACTTTTGCTGACAGTGCTGACAATGTTTACATTAGGCCAGAAGAATATCCTATGTAAATATGTTTCCTCAGAATATTTTCCTCTGCTAGGGAATAAACAAATTAAATCCTAAATAAAGAAATACAGTTCTCTCCAGAATCCTGTTTTTAACTTATTCCTTCTACCTACCAGAGCAAAAGTAAAAACAAGAAAATAAATATAAATGATATAGTARTGAAGTTCACYAYCATTCTGAGCTTGCTCTTATAATCYACYWGAGGYCCCATCTTTTTATGCTYTTTATCTGTTACRTTCAGAATCYTGTTTACRAGCAAAGAGAAAGAATATTTTATATATTAAGTAAMGCTTGGAATCCCATGCCAGCATAATTGGAATCATTAGGAGTCCAATCATTATTAGTTCAAATCTAATTGACACACAATAAGCAAAAACTACCAATGCAATTAAAATTGTCATCACTTGACTTCTGAACTGATCTATGCCTTAAATCTGTTTGCCTTGTGTAGTCTTTTAATTACAGATTATACTGCAAATGCACAATATTCAATTCAATCATTGACTCATTCCCCTAAAGAATAACAATGGGAGCATCATCATTTTTTATCTGGTAGATAGAAAAGTTTTCCATTAAAATAACATAGTATATTTTCCCTCCACTGCACRTTAAACTGCAGATCTCCCACAAATCCATGCAGGGACATGAATTAATTCCATCTCCTTCCCATGTTATGGAAAAGAGTTCCAGCATTGGAACAGGAAGGTATGAAGGAACAGTTAGGCTGCTCCACTGAACATTGTATTTCAGATGCAGCAAAACTCTTCTTTTCCTTAGTGAAACCAACAAGAAAAAAAATAAAAAAAATAATGAATTTACATGAGACACAAAGACTATAGAAACTTAGCTGATTTGCTGTGGAAAATAYAAAGCTGCATAACTCTGCTACAGTTTGAGATAAAGTTTTAAAATTACGTTAAATTTTTTACTTAACTTACAATTCAATGTAGTTGAACTACTCTACAAACAATAATTGCAATTACATCATAATAATGGGAAGAAAAGACAAATAGAAAATACGTTGTATTCAAAAGTACAATGGCTTTACAATGGCAGTTAACTTCCTCTGCCCTCAAGGAGTAATTTTAAGCACATCACAAGATATTCCATTGGCCAAAACTTTGTTAAAATCATCTCACAGTTCTCCCCAACTAGTGTCAATTAYTTAATTCAACTCCCTATTGCTGGTAATTACTGCATTAATTAACCATTCCAAACACTATTTTTCAAACTGCCTTTGCATTAGTGGAACAGTTGAAAGTCCCATAAATACTTAAAGCTTCAAGTCCAGAGGAATTGTTTCTCTTTTCAAAGAGATTGTTTCCTYCCYCAAACCATGACAGTAAGAGATCTTMATTTTCACAGCCAATTAACCTGTCAGCCATACTAGAATGTTTTTGCAACCACAATATATTGGACGACACAGATCTCAGAGCAGCTGACAAAGTTGAAGAAGTTGATAAAGTCATGCTGGTTTAGATAGTCTACCCTTTGCCTGCAACCCAGTTGGAAGATGTGTTTCCTAAAAAAATAGGTGTGATTTGAGAAATATTGGATTTGACATCTAGCCACAGTGAAGAACATCTGTAAACTATGAATAAGAATGGACCCACGGACTGAGAGAGAGAAAAATGAGAATTATTGAGACAGAAAATTAGCCTACTTGACATGTAACACAGTAGGCACTACAGTACAGGGAAAACATTATTTACAATGGTAGTGAGTTGTGCAACTAACACCAAAATTAGTTACCATAAAGTACTACATAATCCAAAGAACCTAAACTGGAATTCTTGAGGCACAAGTCTTCAGTTGGCCAATAGAAGAGTGGGGCATTGSTAAATATGCCCCAGACAGATTCTGCCCAAAATAAGAACCTCAACATGTCAGAAATTTCAGATACTGCCCTAAAAGTATGTACAACAAATTTTCCCAGGCAGAAAACAAACAAAAAAAAAAACACCAAAAAAACAAAAAACCCAAACAAACAAGCAAAAAAAAAAGTCAGAACTTTTTATATAATCAAGCACAGAAAAGCGCCCATTTTGCTTCAAACAGGCTGCAGATTTTACCAGATTGCCTTCAGTCTATTGAAGGGGTCTGGGAAGACACTCCTTGCAGCAATTGTTACTTAATGATAATTAAATATATCCCACACATTAAATGTGGGGATGATGTAAAATATTACACCTTCATACTCAAGCAAAATAATCTTATGATTCCATCAAATTTCTTTAGCTTGGAAGTTCGTACCTTAGACTTAGAGCATTTCACTTTTTGTGATTTAATTATTGGTTATTCACTGTAAAAATTTAAAAGAAAATATTTGTTCCAAAGATCAGTGCATTCAATATCTATATTTCTGGTAATCATAACAGTGTGACAGATGTTGTCCCATGTTTAATTATTGCAAGGCAAAACATTGTTGAATATTAAGGACAATGGCATAACTTAGAATTTTACTTTTGTTCACTTTTCTTTAGGTTTTATTTTTCCCTTATATAAAAATTCAAAACAATGACATAATGTAATATTTTTTTTCAGAAGAAAACTCCCTTGCAGCCATTTTTCTTTGTGTAAGAATTGTATAAGTTTTGACAATTAGTAAGTTCAAAAAACCAAAAAATCTCTTCCAAATCCAAATAAAATGTTCTATTTTCTATGATACAGAACATTACAGCAATATGCATATTAGAAAACAGACATTATATCTTAGAAGTCAGGAAGCATTTTTTCCCCAACTGGTTAAAGTAATGCCTTCAGAGCTCTCCAACTCAGATGWGCTAATGTACTTCAAAGCTTAGCATACTCAGAAAATAAGATTACAACTTAAGTCTCTGCACAGAACAGATTGTTAATATACAATTCATTACTGTGACTTTCACACACATTTCTTTGCACGGTACTCAAGCGGTAATACTTTTTCTTCCTCTTTTCTAATTACCAGATTTAACGCTCAGAAATAATAAAAAGAAATATAAGGCAATATCTCTTTACCGTTCCATTTAGACAGTRTGTGCTAATATAATTCTTGTGATAAATATGAACCTGTTCGTTTATCAACTCCCTAAGAAGATTATCTGAAGCAACTCCCATGTAATTACCATTCACCATCTGTTCCACCAGGGCCTCAGCTGATCTGCTGGCATCTTGCAGTTTTCTGTACTTCTCGGGCTTTTCTCGCTGGATGGCCTGCAGCATGACAGGAAAGGTGAGTATTTCAACAGAGGGAATTTGAAAAAAAAAGTTATTAATCTCAGGGTTGTCTTCTGATTTCTTGAGATCTTTTAACCCATCGTATCGCTCTGTCTGCCCCTCGATTTACAATGAAAGCAGCAGGTACCACAAACCACCAGGAAAGGAGTCAGCCAAAATCAAATACAAAAAATGAGTCAGAATTCAGTAGTTGACAGATGAGAAACATCAGTACTTTACAGAAAAACAAGGACACAGAAATTCAGAGCTATTCAAAGCACAATATTTCATAAAGAAAATATTTGTTCAACAGAAATTCCTCGTGGAAGAATACATCTGCTCATTTCTCATGGTAAAAACAAAAATTGACCATAATCACCAAATCACAGGGATTCTCAGCATTCTACAGTGTCAAGCCCATATAAAACTTGATTGCTTATGTTACTATTTTGTGTGAAAGCAAACTAACAACTTTAAAATGCAGATGTAGGAACATACACAGCACAGATCCCTATATGAGCTACCAAGAAAAGTTAACTGCACATTTAACACAGGCTGCTCATGACACACTTAATTGTATTTAATACTCTTGATTCACCTTTTTTCACACAAAATTTCACAATTTTTTCACACAAAAAATTGCTCACCCATGTTCAGGCCAGCACTCAAGCTAGCYATTAAGGCCTAGCAAAGGCCAGCAGCTAAAATTACAGGATATAGTAAGAATCTAAATTAAAATTTCATTTTGGGTCAGCAGCAATACTGGTGGAAAGCAAACTCATTTTAGATCTGACAGCCCATCAATGCTGTCTTGCAATTAACATCATGAAGTCACTTCATTGATTTTAAACTAAATTAGTTGCATAATTTGGGTGTAATTTAGAAGCTCAAAGATGCAGSAAGGTGCTACTGTCAATTTTGATACCAAAAATAAAACAGACTATATACCTCCCAGAGATCCTGACCAACACAGTTCCTATAAATCAGGAGGATACATCCCTTCAAATCCTACATGGTGTAACTGGAAGGATGACACACGGCCCTGGCCCTGTGTTTCTCCACACCGGGCTTCATCACCCTCTTTATTTCCACAGCAAAGGTGGATGCTGCATGACTTTTAAAACGTTCCTTAAATTGAAGAGAAAGCTCAAGTCGATGTCTAAGAATACATTTAGTAAAATAAYCTCAAATGCTTCAATTTGGAAATATTATTTTTCAAATAGGTCGTTACACCCATATGGAATGAATATAAACACCATTGAATTAACTCTCTCATAATAATTTTTTAAAGCAGGATGCTAAAAACATCTTCAGTTTGGTGAGATGCAGCTCCCTGGAAAAAAGACTTGGTCGGTGAGGAGATGCAGAAATTTGAAAGAGAAATTTTCAATTAAATTCACACCTCTCCTCAGCTTACTTATAACTGCTATTCATTTGTGCGTATAGAAATAGTTAAACAGCAGGATTTCTAACAGTATCTCAGAGATTCTTTTTAACACTTTCACTAAAACAATTTTGGATGAATAAAATACATAAAGAAAATATATTTAGAGAATTATCAAGGATGAAAATATTTTGTATTTTATAAAAATAACTGTAAYATACAACAAAATTACCACTGAAATATCATGAAATTTAATCTCAGTAGRTGAATAAAATCTTTTACCATTCCACAGAACAATTTCAATATCTTCCAAATTTAAAAAGTAAATTCACTCTCTGTAGAGTTTCCAAAATCTCTTATAGAATCTTAATTAATACTACKCTGTCTATAATGCCAGGTATAATGAACATGAGAATAATTACTGAGAACTCAAAGGAATCATTAAAACACTAAAATACACTGAAAATAATTCTACTCCGTCTGTAATGCCAGGTGTGTTGTTATCATGTGTATAACTGTACTGAGCAGAACAAGCCATTAAAAAAAACAAAAACAAAAACAAAAACAAAAACAAAAACAAAAACAAAAAAAACCGTCATAAAATATACTAAAACTTATCTTTCTAAAATATAAAAATCATGTGATGAAAAGGCTTCTGGAAATCAACCTTTTGCTGCCCAGCACTATGCTGTGTGTGCAGGAAAACAAGGATAAACGTTCAACTCTCTCCTAAAGACTGAAATTCCTGGGTTCTGGTACAAAATATTAGCACTGTATGTGGAGTCCTTAAATAAAAATCAAAGATTTTGAACATATCAAACTTTCTGCCAACTGTTTTTATCCATTAATTTTTATGTGACTGGCGTATGTTATGGAAATGAAGGTCTAACACTGGTCACAGGAAGACAAACACACAAACACACACACAGAAAGCACAGTGCTAACCAAAGGAGGAGAGACTGAACTCCTGGTTCTTCATTCAAAGAGAAATGATGTGATAAAGGAAAAAGAAGGAAATTCACTCTTGTTGCTCAAACACTGACCACATGAACCTGCCTTCAGTCTGTTCACTCTGCTACTGCTTGCCAAAACTGCAAACTGTGCTGGGTTTTTAAGATTCTCAGAAGAAATACTTCCATAACCCTGTGTAAAGTGCCTAGAAATGAAGGGAATAGTCCTGGAAATTCCTCTCATTTACCTCTTTGGCTCTGTTTTCTTCATTTTTCCCTTTACTGAAGAAGACCATACTCACGAGCCAAGTTCACTATGACACAAGTAGAATGGGATAATTCTAAAGGGATTTGTGAGGTTTTGAAACTTGAATCCTGTACATTGTAATACTTTTTGACAGTAGTGGTTAAGTAACTTCAAAGTATTTTCAAATATATAACTTCCTTCTTTTTTTTTTAAAAAAAAATATTTTAGCTTTCTGTGAAAGGTTTTTCACAAAAAAAAACCCCATCAATATTAGAGGGAAAGGTTAGCTTTACAGACTTTTGTCCAAGCAAAGATTAATTCTCTTTTGGACTACTTTGTAAGAGAGAATGCAAATGTATGATAGCCTAGTTTTAATTGATTGAGAAACATTATAAATTCATCTTTAGCTGAATRCCAGCCAAAGGCAAAGAGGCTATTTTTACAAATCTAAACATTTTATTTGACCCTGAGATTTTAGCTGGCAGTTAACGACTTCATAACCTAGAAAATACTGATGGTTGGAGAAATTTGGATGTTATTCATATATCAAATCAATATCCTACTTTGAGAGCTCTGTGAAAGGATGCAGGGTAGCAGTAGTCCCTGACCTCCTGTGATGGTGAYCCATCACCCCTGAGGGCAGAGAGACCAACATTATCACCACCACCTCTGACAGTGATTCAGCTCTCAAATATCCGGGCCCAACAAAGCATGTCTGAAAAAGGTCACTAAAGCAAAACAAACAGGAGAATGGGGCTTCTGAGAATGCCAAGAGAACAAACTGAATTGTCCAGAATATCTGACATTTTCTCTTACATCTATTCCTTGTGTTTATCTTTGATTTTGAATTTCTAAGTGATTCTTCTTGGCTAACCAAAACTCCTTTCAAAGAGTTTTATTTCCAGTTTATTGTTCCTTAGTCTCAAATCTGATTTACTAAGCAGAATTTACTACCTGAAATCAAAGGGTTCTTTCACACCTGAACTTTTATATATTTGAACTTACAATATTGAAAGCTCATTCTATCTTAAGAGAAACAAAAAAGCCCTGAGACGTTCTTAGGTCTGATTTTAGTAAAATATACATGATAACTCTAAAATATTAATGGTGAGAGGCAGCATAACAATATTTACAACATTAATGTTTGGATGCCTCCATTATTTAGGAGTAGAATGGTCAATAAACCTCTGTTCTTATGGCACCACAGCCTSCCTGCCCAGGTAAGGGAAGTATCTTTTTTTTTTTTTTTCTAACAGGGAAAGGTTATGAATATTTTTCTTCTCCCCAGACAGAGGAATGGACTTTTTGCACATGTCTAATGTATTCAAACTACATAATACATCTGCCAAAGGATAATTTCCTGCCAGGATCTGAAGAGCAGCTGGCTTAGCAAACAGAGTCACTGAATTTCATGCAACCAGTTCTTGGCTCTGTCTCCCCCAGGACTCCTCTAAGCTGGGATGGGGGATCAAGCTTTTGCACTTTATGAATCACCAGCGATGGCAAAAGAGATTTCCTTGTGGCTTTCATTTCTGATGTCTCTGTTCCTGCATCGTGCAGCAGATGCATTTCCACTAAATTTTATGGAAGTGACCCCTCATCCATGAAGAATGATGGGCAGGAGCAAGAAGAAAAAGAATAAAAAAGAAAGAGTCCCTGTAAAAAGGCTCCAGGACTCTGCACTGACTGTGGCAGGGAATAAAGATCAGTTTTGATGTCAGCCAAGCAGAGGTGTTCTGTGATATGTTGTCATATGGGGGAAAAATCCTAAATGATAAAGCTGTAAGGACAAGATGGGGCTTCTGCACACATGTGTGCATGTATGAATACATCACAGGGTATGGCTGTGGATCTCAGTGCTCATCCTGGTTTTTGCTGGGATTCTTTCTCAGTAGCTGGGGGAGTGCTGTGTTTGGATTCATTACGAGAATATTGATAACTTTGATGTTTTGAGTTCGCTAAGTTGTGTTTATCCTGAGTCAAGAAAAGGAGTCAAGAATTCCTTTTTTTCTGTGTGGCTCCTGCTCTGCCAGTGATACATAAAATAAAAAATGGGAGGGGGCACAGCCAGGGCAGGTGACCCAAACAGGCCAGAGGGGTATTCCATACCCTAAAACAATGTGCTCAGTGCAAAAACTGGGGCAGTTGTCTGGCAGGGGACTCTCTGGGGTCAGGGATGGCATCTGGCCTTGGTCAGCAGGTGCTGAGCAATTGCATTGCTCATCACTTGCTTGTTGTTTGTTGCTTTCTTTTTATTATCATAATAATATTGCTAATTTGCTATTATTATTGCATTTTACTTTATTTCATTTAATTATTCCTAGCTCAGCCTACAAGTTTTACTTTTGGTTCTCCCCATACCTCTGGGGTSGGTGGGGGGAAATGAGCAAGAGTGGTGTTTAGTTACCAGCTGGGCTTAAAGCTCAACAGTACAATAAAATCTATTTCAATTATCACTCACATATGTTTTCCTTTCTTCATTTCATTCTTTTTTATATGCATTCTACAACTTTACTAGAGATTGTAATAAGTTAAAACACACTCTATCTTATTTTCCATTGATTTGAGGCTCATTTTGAGAGAACTAATAACTAAAAGTGTTAGCAAGCAACAATGAAACTGCTCAAATCAATGAAGTGAACAGTACTTTCTGCTTTGGCTCTCATTTCATGGATGGAGACAGAGACAAGAGAAGGAAAAGTCAGGTCAGGACAAGCTTTAAAACCTAACATTTTTTAAAAATTGACTTTTTTTCTTTGCTTTTTAAAAAAAGTGTGTACAAAAACTTGCACTAACTGAAACCCATTCAACACWGAATCCATGAGGCACTTGTCAAGTGCCATCTTTCAGAACTCTTGCTACCAAATTAATACATGCAATAAGAAAGTTTTCTCCCTTAGAGCAACTAGAAACTTCTAAATACAACTTGAATCTCTCTATAAGATGTTCATTTTAAGAGCAATGACACTGTGAAATTAAAACTGATCTTGGTGTTTAAAAACATTTTCTATGTTAATGAAGGATACATATTGATTTTTCTTAGAACGGTTTAAAATTACTGGTTTGTCTCAGACCTCTCTTGATACRAAACAGATCCTTTTCTGCAYTACTTAACTGAAAAAAAAGGCTKGAAATTTGTTTGTTAACAATTCAGTTATTGAATTTCCAAGGAGACAAAGGAACATATGGAATATCTCCTGCCATTCGTAGTGCTTTGAATTCAAATTTAAAATGCTCATGCACTGGTCAAATCCCACACATCTTTTTCTAGTATTGTGTACATTATCACCAASTGAAATAAAACCTGGATAAATGTGGTAGGAAGTGCCTCCCAGCCCCAGTGTTCTTCCTCAGATCCAACAAAGGCAAGGCAAGAGCTACTGGGAACCCCAGCTGGGACCAAAGAAAGGTCTGTGCTTCACCCATCTCCACCCCTTTACCTGCAGCAATCACCACCTCCTCAAATGCAAAGAAAAGAAAGGAGGAGGAAGGTGAACCATGGCTCCTGAATCCTTTAATGCTTTTATCAAGTCTCAGAAACAGGCAACATGAGGTGGAACAGGTGGGAAACCCAACAGTGCAGGTAGCCAGCTTAATTTGCAGGACAAGATGAGCTAATTTTCATCCTTGAAATTAGTATGTTCCCCAAAACAGGAATAAACGAAAGGGAGATGAGCATTTTGTTACATTTTTTCAATGTTTCTTTTAAAATTTAAATTGGAGCACTTGGAAAATTAACTGTAAATCTATTAATGAATTAGATGAATGCCATTAACTCAGTATTCAGGCATGTGAACCCATCAAATCTACTCTGTGTATTTGATCTAGTCAGCATATATATGTATATTTATGYATATTTCACATAACACAAAGCTGTGGTATGAACTAAATTCAGGACATGCCATTTGAATGAATAATTTCTGGCACTAATATTATGACAATATTAACAACTAAAATTATTGCAAGAAACCTATGATTTAACATGAAATTTAAAAATTATATGTTTAAAATCACAAAGTTCCATGGCCCTCAATCTTATCACAGGTGATTTATGATGGTAAAGCAGACAATGAGAAAAAAATAGCAGCAAGTCTAACTTCAACACAGTAACTTTGTTCCATGTKGTTATCAAGACATATTTTAATTACATTCCATAATATACTACGTTACAATCAGAGCTAATTATAAAAAATTCCCTTTCTATTACTTGGAAAAGATGGGCATTTTTTCAATGATCTAAAAAAATCAAATATGGAAAAATATTTGTAACAGTTTAGTTCTCAAGGGCTAATTTCAGTAATTCAGTCTGTGGCACAAACACACAAAGACAGATACTGCTTAAGCAGTGCAGAACCATTCATTTTGACAGAAAATAAGCTTTTGGTTCTGACATGGTACTACAATAGAGTAAAAAAAAAAAAAAAAAAAACCCTATGGAACCTGGTGATTGTCATATAGATTTTACAGCACTGTAAAAGGAAATAGATACAGATTTTCTTCAGTATCTACTACAGTGACAATTTTCATGTCCTTCAATTTATGCATGTACAATGTCAAATTAAGCTGTCAGTATAGAATGATGTTGCATATTTAGAAAATGATATATAGTCTTTGGTATAACTTTACCTAAGACTTTCATGAATCTAGAAYAATTAAATATGAATATGTATGAACAAAAACAACAACAAAAATCTGTGTAGCAATTTCAGAGCCAGAATCTGAGATTCACAGAAACAGCYAGCACTTCTAAATTTATCCTGGACAATCAACGCTTGTCAGTCTCCATTTGACCTCATTTAAACCTGGGCTTTGAAAGCACTTTGACAGTCTAATACAGACATGTATATGAGTAATTTCTCCTACATTGACTTTTTCTCTGAGGTCCGAGATGTTCCCTTCTTTTCGATAAATTGCAAACTCGGGGCTCTGCAGCACGGCCTCGGAGCGCGTCATCCAACTGTGCAGCTCTGTCGTGTCCGAGTCAAACCTGAGAGGCAGAAAAGTGTCATAAGGCTCTCCATTCCCACAAAGTTTCAGAAAATAGCAGCAAACATGTTTAGCTGRTTGTTTAAACAAGCGAATAAACAGCAATTCCTCTCAGCAGAAGACAGTTTTAAACGCCCGTATCTCATCGGAGTTCATAAAACTATTCACTCTAAAATTCAGAAACACAGAAATGCTCTTTCATCTTTAAGACCCTGATTTGACAGCTGAACCGATGCAATAATTTTCACAATAAGTATTCTAATTTTTCAAGCTAATGTGTTTTGGGAGACATGAAATAAATGTCTCTCAGTGGAGAGAGAGCACCACAGGTCCTGTTGGCTGAGCTGAGGATGTAAGGCTTATCTGGCTGCCTAAATGCAGCCTTCAAACCTGGGAGATTTTTGTACCAGCTTGTGCTGATGATATTATGAAGGAAATTCAAGCAGAAAATTTGATGAAAGAAGCTTTTTCTGATTAACTCAAATTTGCTGTAGAATGTAATCACTAATCAACAAGTAAAGCATAATTTTCTCCAGTTAAAGCCTTAGAAACCAAAATTAAGATCCCTAACTCTCTGCACTTACTTTATAACTGGTTTTCACTCTGCAGCACTTTTTACAGGCTGGATTCTTTCATGAATTCCTTTAAAACTGATCTTAATATTTGTTAACCAGCCATAAGGTAATATCTCAAAATGCAKATATTTAATTTACTTATGTCTAGAAATTCCAAATTGTGATTCAGTATCTACTGTAGTTTTTAAAACGAGAAGCTTCAGATGATATTTTTTTCTCTGTTGTGCCACATTCTCTGCTTGATTGCATTTCTTTATTTTTTTGTATATTATAATATTTACATCCCTTTTGCAGCTGACTTTCCTTCTGCATCAATACAGTGAGCATAACAGAGCAGAAAGACCTGGGGGAAAAAATAATGAGCTGTATCTTTCAGTTTGCTTTGTGACTATAGGCTGTACCATTTGCATACAATTGAAAAATCTACTAAAAACAGTAACTTGAACAACAATTGTACCCCTGGAGGAATTAATTATTTTATAAAAATATACTTCATTTATACAAAGATTTATACTTCTAAAATACAAGGATGTAAGGCAAAACCAGGTGCTACCTAAATCTACATATACAGAAATAAAAAAAAAATACAAGAGTTCCATGCTTGAGCTAATATTTACGCTTCTTTCTTTTTTTCCTTCTCCGCTATGATTTTTTTTTTTATTTTATTCATAATAATGAAAAAAAAGAATAACACCCTGCCTTAATCTCAGTTTAATATTCTATATTCAAATTATAAACTCTTAGGAATAATTTTGATAAAACAATTCCTGATAATACAATTTGAATACTCATTCAAGGAGAAAAAATGTGACCATRAAGTAATGGAAGGTGCAAAAATCTTCAGTTTCATAAAGAATTACAAGTTCAGAAGCACAACACAAAATAAAATGTCCAGATGGTTCAAGGAATGTCTTTGTTGGTAACAGATTCTAATCCCTGAACTCCAACTGCACAGTCAGTTAAGAGCTTCCTACCTCAGTTTTATTTCTGATCATTAAATCAACTGCAATCCTTGAAATAAAATGTTATCCTCTGTTCTGCAAATAACAACTGCATATTTGATGATCATAAAACACCAGACATCTGATAGCAATGAAGATAAATTTACCAGTCCCTCAGTGCTAAAATTCCTTGACTGCAGGTAAAATTGTATGAACTCTGGCATTTGTTCCATTCTGAAGCTGCAGGCAAGTAGGATTAGTGGGACCAACACTATGGTACAGGATGGAAATTCACAGAGAAAAATGTTTATCAGTGATCAATTCTTTAATAAAAGGATTTAGCCCTTGCCTCAGCAACACCTGGGAGAGGAATGGGAGTATTTGGGACAGTTTAGACATTACAGCAAAATAATTAAGTACACATCTCATGGCCCAGAGAGCCATCAGATGGTGGCAAGTGTTAGACACAGATCTTTAAGGTCCCTTCCAGCCAAAAGGATTCTACAATAGATGATTGTCTGATATGACAAAGTTGATCTCACATAACAGATTACTCTGTCACTTGCAGTTTCTTCTGGGGATAAATACAATTCCAGAACCAAAGCCTCCTGTTCCAAAAGGGCCAAAGAGAGGGCCAGAAAACAATTAAAATACATAAAGGCTTATGTATTAAGTAGCTTTTTGCAGTACATAAATATCCTTAAGATAAAGACATTTTACTTGGGGGGTGGGTGGGGAATCACTCTCTCCTGTTCATCTTGTGTAAAAGCAGGAAACACTGGTAGAAAYGGCATTTAATCATTCCACTAGAGTGATTGGACACTTCCTTTCTGAGCACAGCTGCAGTTACAAATTATATCAGCTCTAGATTGATATAAAAATACAAGTAGAGCCTTTAAATCTCCTAGGAACAACAACACTTTTGACATAAAATAATGCAAAATTACCTTTCTGACCGAACAACTTCAGCTTGTGTAGAATTTGTGAAAATCGATCCATRGAAGATACTAAACCAAAAATCACTTGAGAAATTACTCTAAATAACTTCCATAATTTTAACATGCACATGCTCCCCACCTAAAAATTCAATTTGAAGTAGAGATTTATTCTTCATTCAGCAGTCATGGTTTTGTTTTCCAATTAGTCTTTTCTTCTGCTGCTCCACATGAGAGATACTATTTTTCCTGGTCCCATMGCCCTCTCTTTACTGGCCAGCACATGTCAGCTGAGCTCAAATGGAGATTTTTTTTAAATTTGAAATATAAAGAAATTAATTCTCATTGCTTAGTGTTTTCCAGAAGTTTTCTGATTAGATAGGGAACTTCTAGTAGGACTAGGTTATCCTATTCTGGTGGGTATTTGGATTAGAAATTTCAYGCACAGAAAGAGAAAATAATGCAGCTAAGTTGTGAAATGCTTCAAAKGTGAGGTTTATCATACATTTAATACAGAAATGGAAAGCCAGAACAAGAAATCTATTTTGAACAAAAACACGGTGACCTACTAAGAGCATTTGGAATGGGAATCTGAAGTGTACAAATGYCTTAGTATGATCCATAAAATCAGTTTGTGGAGAATTTTCCATGAAAATGTGACTGGTATGGAATAAAAATATGAAGATGGTATTAAAATATGCTTTGAGTAAAAAAATAGACAAACAAATTCAACGATAAACAAGTTCATGCAGGAACATGAGGCATGAAGTATCCTCCTGTCATGTGGGCATCATGGTACATATCTTATCTTTAAACTGAATGAATTTCATCTCTAAACTACATTACTGTGTTACTGCTACCATGGCCAGACAGTGATTTCAATACTTTATTCTTTTAACAGACAGAAATTGCCTAACAATTTCCTTTGCTCATTCATTTCCTTCCTTCCTTCCTTCCTTCCTTCCTTCCTTCCTTCCTTCCTTCCTTCCTTCCTTCCTTCCTTCCTTCCTTCCTTCCTTCCTTCCTTCCTTCNATGAATTTCATCTCTAAACTACATTACTGTGTTACTGCTACCATGGCCAGACAGTGATTTCAATACTTTATTCTTTTAACAGACAGAAATTGCCTGACAATTTCCTTTGTTCATTCATTTTTTTTTCCTTCCTTCCTTCCCCAAACAAAAATCCTACAGGGCCTTTTGTCACCACTGTGAATCTTGGGCAGACATGAGACCGTTTGCCTACAGATTGTCTTGGCAGGGAATGATGCAACTTTGATCCAAGAACCACATTACTGAATTATTTCATTTCCATGCCTGCATTGAAATGCCCAGATCACCAGAGATCTCTCTCAGCTTGTAGCTCTTCCCTGCCTAGAACATATCAAAGAACAACTTTACAGTASATGGTGCCCATTGGAAGAATTATTCTAATTCCCTGCTGTCTGTCTTCCTCCTCTGTATTTGTAGTTTATGAGACATTAGTTGATAAATAGACTTGTTCTTATCTTCTAATTCTAACAGCTGATTTATCCTAACAAATATTTTCACCTTCCTTTTTTTTTTTCAGTTTAGTTGGCAAAAAAATTTATTTCCTTTTGGAATGACATTTTGACCCTCCCTCTGCACTTGTGACATAGCCTCACCAACATTATGACCAATGCATTTTTGTAATGCACATCAAAGCATGAAAAGAAACASTAAATCAATCCCAAGTGTGAATCTCCAACAGAAACTCCCCCAGCACCATGAGGTACAGAGCACTTTTAAATCCAGTCAGCCAGGACTCCAGTGAGTGCTGACCAGTACCACTCCAAATGTTGCAGTAAATTTCAGGTGCTAAACGTGAAGAATGTAAATTCTCTGTTTATTTGACACCAATCCATTTCTCACCTCACAAAAAGGATGAAGGGTTAAAACTAATAAGCATTAAGAAGTGTCCATGTTTACAGACCTCAACATACCCATACTTCTCATGCTCCAAATGAAAATGTTAATTAATMATTCCCCCTGTAAGCAAACTATTCTGTTGTGTCTCAGTCACCTTTAACTTTCCTCTGGAACTGGCTACAGACACCCTAAAATCAAAAACCACTAGAAAAATAGAAGTAATGACTTCCTTCTTTTTGGATTTGTTACTTAMAATTAGATATCAATACCAGAGCAAAAGCTGAATTTCTTAAGAGAATAAGGGTGAAACAACCCAATGCAGTGGCTGTAAAAGTGCTAAACAATCACATTTTAGTCCTAACTAATATAGTTCATCACACAGAAAATTGTGTATTTGGAAAACTAACTATCAAAAAGACATTTAAAGTAATTATAATTTTTCCTTTGATACATTTTTTCTACAAAAATCCAAACTTCTCTAAATTGGAATCCCAAATATAATGTTTTTCAAAAAAGTTGGGGCTTTTTTCTTTTCAAAAAGTTCATTTATCAGCTGTTAAATGAAAAAAACACTAGATGGAGCAGCTATCCTGTTTTAACACACCTTTCCCTTCAAAGGRCATCAAGCCTTTTCAAATCTTCAGATTAACATTATACCAATAACAATGTTATGACAAGAAGACTTTCCTTGGACACATTAGGAAGCATGTAAAAAGTTATTTACCAAATTGCAAAGAAAGGTATCTTTGGACATTATTGAAGCACATTAATATTACAAATGTGTTTAAATTAAATATTAACCAGCTCTTACTTGTCTGTTAAAAACTTAGCAAGAACAGAGTAATTTTCAGATTTTTCTATGACCTGTAACTGACCTGTTTTTCCCAGAATATGTAAATACCATGAAAATAAATGTTACCTTGCATCCCCTTCTCCCATTCACCCTTTTTTTTATACTATAACCTCAGCTGTGTTTATCTCTAGTCCTAATGCCTAATACATACTTTACAGCTCCAAGTATTTTATCTTTCTCAGTTTTAAATTGATTCCTTTGGGAAAAGGAGCTTTTCTTTGACTAGCAAYAGAACATAACTCACCTGAATTATTCTGACATTTTGAAGCACTACTTCTGAAGCAGTTTTAGATTTTTTGGGGGGAAAATGAAGGGGAAAGAACTTTTTTAAAAGTAATCTGGTTCTTATCTCTACTTTCCACCACTTATTGCAAAAAGTTGCTTAAAGAGGCAAGGAAAAATCAAGAGCCTCCTTGCCATGCMTTCGTGCCACAGTGAATCAGAGCAATGGAAATGTGACATTCAGTCCTGTGGATATTATTGGTCTAAAGTCAAATTGCTTCTTCTCGATTTTTTCATTTAAAAAGAGATTTTTATACTTTCAATACTGACAAAACACTTGGAAATAGAAAAGTAAAACTCATTCTAGAAAATTTGATGCTTCAATCTCAGCCATCCATTTTTTCCTCCTTGGCTGATGAACTGGAGGCTGTACTCTTACACAGTACCCTAACATGATATTTACAGAGTAAAGGTTTCAAGTGTTTCCAAAACGTTTAGTTGACAGAGAAGCAAATCTGGAGCAAAAATCTTTCCGAACAGTGATGTAGAAGTGGAGCCTGATGCATTTATTTCAATCATACTCCTTTACAGAAACAACGTTGACCAAAGACTGAGTACAGAGGAAAGAAGCTGGAAAAACCTGGGAGCATTATTCACCACCTCAAAAAAAAAACCCTCAAAAAAACCCCAGTGTGTCTTTCACTCCCAGAGCCCAAAATACCAAGCAACAGCATGCAGTGTGTTGGACTGGGACTGCAAAAAGCAGCCAACACACTCTGGTAATTCACTTTCAGAAGCTTCTGATAACCCTTCAGTAGTTGCCAGGGATTTTTACCAAACCAAAACTAAAGAGTACATAGCCATCAACTATTGGCCATTAAGAGCTCAGGGAAAATTTTGGTTGTAAACACACACAATATAGAATGATGCAGATGTATGTTGAGACCCCCATTCTTTCAGGGTTTTTTTTACAAAATCAAAAGTTWTGCAGCACTATGGGCTTTGTTTATCCTTGAGTGCAGCTACAACTGAATACAAACAAAAAACCCTGAAAGATCTTGTGGCCAAAAATGCACCAGAAAATWAATGACTGGCTGCTTGGGAACAGARCCATGGGATTCTCCCAGAAAATAAAAACAACCAAAACATATCTATTCACCATTGAACACAGATATTTTAACTGAGTGCMCAATTTTTAAGATGAGCTTTCTTCTTCCATTATTATGCTTTTATTTAGTATAAATTTATATTTTCTTGTCTTTGAGAAAGAAAGATACTACAAAATGTGTTTGTTTCCACACTATAAAACATGTTTGCATTTTTACATATTAATTAACGACAGTCACAAAAAACTATTTTTCTAAGCTGAAACTTCTTCCCCAAATTTTACCCTCAAAGTGTTTTTCCGAAGCTATTTATTGACAGATCCTTCTCTGTGGAACACCCGCTTGGACCTACTAAAGGCATTTGGTTTTTACAGTTTTTTCTCTGTTCAGTTAGAAATGYCAAAATTATTATCTGAATGGAGAAATACTGCCTTCAGATAATATTACCAGCATCCACCCTGCTGCACATCTGTGGACATTTCCAACACTTACTTTTCATATTCCCATAATGTAGGTCCAGTCAGAGGTGCAACAGTCACACCGATCTAGTTCTCATGTGCTGGTGCAATTGCATTGTTGAATTTAGTAATTTCTRCACACAAAGTAATAGCTAGAGCATATTAAAGTGTATTAAACAATTAACTCYCTTTTTTCTTATAGAAGTCAGATTTCTCCCCCAGCAGATCAAAATACAAGTCCAACGAAAAGGACTCTAATCTTAAATATCTAAAAGAAACCACAACTTATTCAATTATCTAAAATCATCCTAGGCAAAGACTAAGAACCACAGATTGTTCCATCTCGACTCTTATCCAGAAGTGAAACAGAAATCATGTGGTGAATGCACWTCTTTTAGGTAGCATCAAAACAAAACCCTTCATTACTAGTATGCATAGAAAAAAAAAAAAAAATAAACTCTCTGTAAATTTGATAATAAATCTCCCAGTAATATATCTACAAGCAATCCTAGTAYCAAAGTTGATAATACATCCTCATTTCTGTAAAAGGATTAATCTTATTTATATATAAACTTGTTAGTTGTAGTGCTTTAGACAGACATCAGCTACAAGACTCTAGTAACACATAATTATCGGTTTCTATAAACCAAGACAGTTCAGAACAAAAACAATTCCTATAATCCAGCTAATTCCCACCCTCAGGCAGTTTCCTTGCATGGTGACTATGAAGTCTGTATTCTGCTGTACCCTGCCAAGTTCACTTTCAGTATTAAGGCAGTTTAAGAGGATGTGAGCAAGAAGGAAAATATATAAGAGTAAAGTAGCTGAGAATAGAACTTTTACTGCCAGTTGGCCTCCTGTTTTACAATAATGCATATAGCAACAATTTTCTTGGAGAGTTGAAAAAGTAGGGTTTAAAAATCATTCTACTTCATTTAGTTTTAACTAAGATAATGTTTTCCTTTGTAACAGTCATCTTACAATTCACTTCCTTATGGAGTAAGATCATTTCTAGAACATTCAGTTTGGAAAAAAAAACATGAAAAGTTTTAAAATACCAATTATTTAAATATTTCAACACTGCAGGGATATTTTCATTCTTAATTTTTCAATTTCAACATAAAGCACATCACAATTTTCATGATGGGGACCATGCTACAAGAAAGGTTTACTCTCATTTATAAGCCAGCAAGACCTTGATCCTGTTTCCCACCTTTGCACATTAYTACTCAAACATTAACAGGAGTGCTAAGGCTTATAATGCCTGATAAGTAACAACATTTCCATCTAACAATTCCTTCAACTAATTCAGGATTCACAAGTCTGCTGATAGTCATCGCTGTGCATTATTTTGGGTGCTTGGTAATATACTAGCAAATTATAACTTTCAGTATGAGTTAATGGTAACCAAGGATATGGGGAAAATCAGATTCCAAATGAGGAYTTTAGAGATAGATCCATTCATTCAAATTTAGCTCACAAACTTCTTTAGACTAAGCTAACTAATAAAAATAGATAACTAATTTAACAAAGAGGGGCAGATCACTCTTCTTGCATCATGTTCCTAAACAATGATGCTAAACTAGAAACCTTACTTTTAGAATGGTTAACGCAGGTACAATGCCGATGTGTAAAAAGTATCTATTTTTTCAATAACATAAAACTTCAGTTAAGAAAAAGTTGTATTTCTTCTATTCTTATTAGATTTAATTCTCCTTCATAACTTACAATTTAACAAGAAAATGGTTAACACATTAAACTAAACCAAGGTATTGTCCATTGAAATAAGACACTGAATGTAGTTTCACATCCCTTTCAGTCCTTGAATCTATTACCTTGGAATTCATGTTCATCTGAGTGTCAAAAAACATTTCCAAAACACACATTACAATGAATGTTTGAAGYCTACCTACTCAGCACCTCATTTAGAAACTTAGTGCTTGAGCCAATTCTGCTTRAACACATCAGAAATTTTTCTCCTGACTTTAACTAATGTTCAGCATTAGTCTAAAATCCCTTGTCACTTGTATTTGAGTTACACAGGAAAAAAAAAAACCAACCAAAAAACCCTAAAAGTAATAATAATGCATGTCTCACCAAATATTACCTGACTCTGCAGAAATATTATTTTTACCGCTGACCTGTAAGCCCAGAAGAATCCCATGAACCCTAGAAACCAGGCAATGTCTGCATTACTAGTACTTTACCTATTATAAAATTCTTCTTAAAGAAYACAAAAATCTTAGAATTAATGGAATGCTTCTTGACCTTCATGCTTCAAGACACAGTCAAGTGGGATCCCCATGAAGCCATACAAAAGGACTTTGACTGACTATAATTTCTATGCAATGGTATTGATGTAACCATTAACATTCTATACTGCTAAATAGTTGCAATAGAAGCACAACATAATCCACAACTCATACTGAGTAATGAAAGATAATAATCAGTTGGTACCCTAACAGAAAACAGAAATATAATTTTATGCTCAAAATAGTATACAGAAGCATATTGCAGTCAAATGACTATTTTTTGCATTTTCATCCAGACTCTATCAGTATTCTCCTTCTGTCTCTTGATGATTCTCACCTTTTCCTAATTTCTGAATCCACAAGGAGTTGCCTTTTTTTGTGGGGTGGAGGCGGTGGGAGTTCCTCTTTAGCGTGCTTMACCAGGATTTGCTCTCTCGTGGTCACCATAGTTACAGTTTCCATTACAGTTGTCTGTGTTAGTGATGTCTGAGTGCTGGTGACAGCCTGTGAGATCTGTGAGAAGTACAAAAACAGGGGTCAGGCATTGTTYGAAAGACTTCAGCAAAGATTGTTTGGAGTAGCAATAGAAAATAATGAGAAACTGCTCTCATCTGATCACAGGCTGACCTTCAGAAAAAAACCCACATTATATGCAACTCCAGCCAGATTGTTTTATCTGACTCACGCTGTGTGAATAAGGCATCTGCAAAAGCCAATAGCAAAATCAGAAAGGATTCTAATAAACTTATGCATCTTATCCTGTAATCCATGCTGAATGGACAAAAGAAATGAATGGAATTTTATGATGGAATTGAATGATAGAAAATGTATAAAATGTTACTATAGCTAATTGTTACCCTGCYTCCAGTCTGAAAATTTGCTCCTCGAGAGGTGATAAAGGCATGAAAATGACACAAAATTACTAATTATTAATCTGTCCATTTATCAAAATTTTCTAGGAGAATGTAATTCACCATAACCTACTTGCATTAAAGGGCAATCAGGAAACCTTAAATTAGAAAACATGTACTAGAAGGCAAATTAATTTGCATAAGTTTCATTCCATAATTAAAAAAAAATTAAGGGGTCATACTAGATACTAAAACCCATAGTATTTAAGGCTGTAAACACTATTAATATAAAGCATTTAGCTTTGCCCAGTAATATAAAAAAACCCCTTTGTATAGCTCAGCTGTATTAAAAATAGAATAATGAAAAATATTTTTTGCTCATATTTTTTKGTGCACTGTTTGTGTGTGTGCTGCCATTTTTAATTCTTTCCATACAACACAAAACTAGAAACTTCCAACTCAAATGTGGGCAGCTGTTCTTAAATCCCTTAACTAATGAGAAATAGGTCACTTCTTTTTTTTGATTCTGTCAGATGATGGTTCATTTGTCAAAATGCTCTAGTTACAGCTCCAATGACCACCTCACAGTTTAAGGGCAGTGAAATGGAAAATAAAAGAAAGAATTTATACCAGGAGCAGAAAAAGTTGTGCACCAGAAAAGTCCTGCTTCTTTGCTTTTGCTAATATGGAAGAATTAGAGTTTCCAATTCAACAACAGAAATGTCAGTGTCTAAAAGTCCATGAAACCATGAATTATGAATAGATAATAATAATTATCTATTACTTCTTGCATCAGAAAYTCAGTAACAGAATTGAGTCAACTTAATTATTGAGACATAAGTGCTTCTGTAAACAGTGAAGAGGCAACCAGGTCTAACACCTTTCCCACAATGCTGTCTTGCACTGAAAAAGAAAAATAGAATGACAAGAAAAGGGAAATACTGGTAACAAGCAACCTCTTCGTAGCAGGCAACATCAGTAAAGCTAAGAAACCTGAGAAAAAAACCCAAYAAATTTCTGCCAACTTTGCTGAATTCTTCACATGGTCTTCTACTCAAAAGTCTTCCTGTTCTTTGTCCAGTCTGCCTGTGGAAGTGATGAGTAGAGAAGTGCTCTGGACTACTCAGAAGACTACAAAATTTAGATTCAGAGCAGATTTTGAAAAAAAAAAAAAAAAAAAAAAAAAAAAAAAAAATAAAAAAGAAAAAAAAAAAAAAAAAAAAAATATCTATGGATTAATTATGTCAATTGAATAAGCTGCTTGTGACCTGCAGGGATTTAGCTAACGTGTGAACTACAAAATTCTTTGGAAGAGAAAAACACCCGGCTGACTATTTAATCACTACGATTTTATGTAGTAACACTCTCATTCTAGTTCCCTCAACAAGATGTATTGATTTTGATATTTTTTTCTCTACAGAAATCATGACAATATTAARTAAATATTCCCACAGATTTGTATTGAAAGCATATACAACATTCTTTCCTATTTTATTTTAATGAATTGGAGGGCAGAAGGAAAAGCAAGTTAAAGCTTCTGATGTCTAGGGTTCTATGAAATTTGAGGATAGAACCTGATGTCAACTTCCCCTGAGCTGACTGCAAGTAAGAACAAAAAGAATTTCTTGCCTATTATATAATTTTGAATACGGTATCTTTTTCCTCTTCTCATAAAATTCTTATTACACACTCTTTTATCCAAAAATCAATGACAGGATGATGTTTCTGACACCCAGGGTCATATCCTGCCATGTTTTCATTTGCTAATCAATACCAGGGCAGAGTTTCCAGAGAAGAAGGTGCAACACAGAATAAACCACAGCTGGGGCACTATAGGAATCATCTGCAGCATAATTCCAATTACACAGGACCAGAAGCTTCAGCTGAGATGGAGAACTGCACCTCCAGAGATGGCAGAGCAATTACTGCTCAGAGCAGTCAAGTCACCACACTGTGGGGAGTAATGATTTCTGTGCCAAAACAGTAAAAAAGGATTTGTCATGCTTGATCAACAGGAGTAGAGGTTAAATGTTATATGCTTCAAAAGGAGGATGGAGATGTGAATTTGAAGTTCATAATCATTCTAATTAGAGACAGGGTAAGGCTAAAAGGTAGATTGCAATCTTACTCTGCAAGATGAAGATGGTTCACATTTAAACTGTGCATACTTTAGTAAGTGAAGGCCAATCTTTAAAAATGTTAGGAATTACAAAAAAAAAAAAAGCAACTTACCTTCTATTGAAAAGGAATTTAAAAAAAAGTATGAAAGGAAAAAAACAAACAAACAAACAACAACAAAAAAAAAATCAACAAAGCCCCAGAACACTTTTTAACGATCAATGTTTTCTGTTTTATGTATTATTCAAAATCAATACATCTGTATATTTTCATCATCCCTCTCAGTCCCTGAATAGCAAATGTGATTCTGAGAAGGGGCAATAGAGACATAGGCTTTAAGCCACTAGAAAATCATATGGAAAGTGCTAAGGTGACTCACAAGGCTGCACATTAAAAGGCTTTCAAAATACAATGCTTGCCTGCAATTTCACATCAAGCCCATCTTAGAAACATGTTAAAACTCATCTCTCTTCAGAGCAGACAAATTCAAATCTCCTTTTTCATCGTCGATAGGCAAACATATGTACAATGTGTGTATAGCACTTCAGTAGTTTTATGTCATTTTATTTCTCATTTATACAGCAGCCTACCTTTAATGCCAACATTTATTACTGTCTTTGGAAGTGCCCTCTGTCCTGATAAACTCATAATTTTCCTTTACGCTCACTTTTGGAGCTGTCATCTGTTCTATGCTGAAATTTATCTGTGTGAGTGGGGAAGTTCAGATGAGGAATGGTGTTTTCTTTAGTTTGGAAAGATTTTCAGTACAATTTAGTGGAGCATAATGAGCTCAGCAGAGCTTGGTTTAGAGTTTCTGGAAGCTACACATCTCTCTAAGCAAGTTGTCCTTGTCCTTGATTCCACTGTGTGGTCAGTGAAGGAAAGCTGACATTTTCAGTATGAGAACAAACTGCTTTTTAGAGGTATTTCTCTCTCTCACACACCCTTGCATCCAGTCATTTGTAGAAGCTTCAGCCATGTGTTCTGATTAGATGCTTGAATTAAAGAGCAATTAATTCAGCCAAATGTGGGAGGACTCACATTCTACTTCTGCATTTTTTTTCCTTTGGGATTTATAATTAATTTAGATGTCTAGTTGGAGAATCATCTTTGAACTGAGCTTGAGGTTGTCTCTTCAATTTAATTTCTTATTTTGTKAACAAGTTACTCATGTGGTGACACTTTATTAAGAGAAAGAAGGGAAATAACCAAGGACAAAAATGTAATTATGAAAGCACTATGAAAAATATTAATCATAGAATCCTTTAGGTTGGAAAAGACCTTTAAGWTCATTTAAGTATTGACCTAACTTTGCCAAGTTGACCACTAAACTATGTAGAGCTAATTTCCACAGCAATTAAATCCTATTTTCAACTCAGAAATGCTGTGTACACAATCTGGTTTTGCTTTCTGTTACTAAGTGATATTGTGCCCTTCCCCCATTTTCTTCCCTTCTATTATCCCAAACTGATTTTTCAAACTTCAGCTGATTTTTCTAACTATCACAGAGCAAACTAAAATATCAAGATATGAATTGAAAGCAAGGTTGCTGAGACGGATTCAGATAACTCCATGAAGTATAGCAGCTTTTATTTAATTACTCAAACATAATTTGGTAGATGTATTAGTATGGAGCAACAAAAGAAGTGCAGCATGCTCTGGGCTAATTAAAAAGCCTTAATATCCATTTCCATTTTACCACTCATACAATGACAGCACAAAAATAACTCAGTATTGGTGAGATAATGGAATAGAAAAAAGTGAGATGATTTGAGTTTAAATCCAGTAAGAAGGAGATGTTAAGAAGATACCTAGGAAAAATAATTGGATATGGGTTTGGGTACCACACCAGAACATTGAATTTTGTTATCTGGTTTAAAATCTCAATTTCATTTTGAAAAATATTAAAGTCAACATAAAGTGGTCAAAATAATAGCAGGTTATATTTTTTCATTGGAACTTTGGTTACAGTATAGATTTATTCCTTTATTTTTCCAAGAAATTTCTCTTCTTTGTAGCCTCTCTTTTTAATCTGGAAATCAGCATATCATATGCAGAAGTAAAACAGCAATCAGTTATAAACTTTTACTGATGAAAAAAAAAATAATTTCACTTAAAACTAGCAGACAGTTCTTGCACTTATTTCATACTACGTGCTATTTCACAGAGACAGACATAAAAGAGTGTGTTATTATAGGTTAAAAATAAATTAACTGGAAAGGTATATTCATTATGGCTTGTATCATCCCTGAAAACATAGTTAACAACCCAAGAAAGTAATCAACACTATAAAGACAGATTAAAAACTCAAGATATAAAAAAAATTCTGGAAAGTTATATTACAGTTGTATTATGCTGTCCTAAAAATAAAATATGTCTTAAGCAATCATGCAGGAGAAAAAATTAAACAATATAATAAACAGCACAAAATTACTTCAAGCATTTGACTGTCAAAGGATTTGATTKCCACAAACTGATAAAACTGGTTTCTACAAACCTGTTTAGAATTGCTCTCCACCTTCTGTACAAGGCTATCCCAGCGCTGGGCAAAATTTTCAAGGCGACTTTCCAGCTTTTGAGCCACTGCTTTATTTTTCACAGCTACCAGGAGATCTTGGCTGAGCAACTTCAGCTTACTCATCATTTGCCTTTTCATTTCTAGATCTCCTTTTAGGATCTGTTAAACAAAGTAACAGAAGGAAGAACATACATTCATAC